TAGACTGCCCTGAAGAAACGCAGTGGAGAAGTCGAGGGAGTGTAACTCGTAGTCACGCTGTGCTGCTATGTGTAGTAGTGCCCGAAGAGTAGTCATCTTCGGGGTCGGGGCGAAGGTCTGAAAGAAGTCCACCCCCTCATGCTAACTAAAGCCTCTAACCACGTAGCGCGCCTTGAACACAGGCGGCTCTCCAGGAGGGCACTTAACCTTGAGGAGCCAGCGGCCATCGACTACGTTCACCCCAGGTGGGGGAACTGCGTCGACGTAGGTGCCGGTGGATCTCCAAGATGCCATCTCCTTCTCCATGGCAGCTATCACTGAGAGGTCCAAGGTCCCGAGGTCGCCTCAGCGTAAGTGCGAGGGGTCGAGATGTCGAAAGCGTCTGGGTCACCCTCAGGGACTAGCGGTATGGAACAGAGATGGGGAGCAGCCTCGGACAGGAAAGCAAGCTCGTACTAGCGGTCCTCCATGACGTCACTGCCGAGGGAAGGAGCACCCCTGACAGAGAGTGGACAGGCACGGCCAGAGATAAGAGTGGTGGCGTAGTGAAGGCGGCGAGTAGAGGCGAAGTCAGCTACCGTAGCGACAAGAGCGTTAAGACACGAGACCGGAACAGACGGGTCGGTAACGAGAGAGGCAAGGACCCGAGGGACAAGAGGACGAGCGGCACGAAGGTAGTTAGACAGAGAGGGAGGCGCAACAACAAGGGAGGACGGAGGAGGCGACGGTACGAGGGGAGGTCGAGACGCGTGGGAACGAAGCAACATAGGGTGAGAGCGCGGGACAGGGGAGACGGGGCGAGCACGGGAGGGACGGCGAGACCAGACGTGAGACGGAGGAGTCGGGTCAGGAGACAGAGGAGGGGACACAAGAGGGGAACGAGGAGGAAGACGAGCCAGAGTCGAGTCCAGGGGAGGAAACACAGGGCCGTAGACAGGAAGAGGAGGAGATAAGAGGAGCGGCACAGACGCGTGGTCAGGGGACGGAAGGCCGAGTAGGCGAAGGGCGGACACCGGCGGCGACTGCTGCTGCGGCGGCAGGAGACCAACACCGGGACCGCAAGCTGCTCCATGGCTACCTCTGGAAAACTCCACTCCAGCACCCCCAGAAGGAACACCCCCAGAGCCCGAAACTCCTCCAGCACCGGTACCATCCCAAGTCCCGCAAGGACAAGCCACGACAGGAACCCCAGGACTAGTACCCACCCGAACGCCAGCACCCCCAGAGTCAACGAATTGCCGCTGTGATGGCTGCGGCGATGACTGCGGCGGCGCCGGCTGCAACGACGGCTGCGGCAGTGGTGACGGCGGCTGCGGAGGCGGCAGAGGAGGAGACACCTAGGGAAGGGCAGGTGGCGAGGACTGCACCGCAGGGCCACAAGAGTCAGCAGACTCCTCGACCGGGACAACCGACAGGAGGGGGGTGACGTGAAACACACCAGACGGGGCAGGACGGAGAGGGGGAGGGGGAGGGGCAGGGGCAACCATGGAAGGGGGGACCAAGAACAGTGGGGGAGTAACCGGGGGACCACGGTGGGGGAAGCGGTGGTAGATGGAGACGGGCTCGTCAAAGGTGACGTCGCAGGAGTGAAAGAACCGGTGAGACGGGGGGTGGTAGAAGTGCCAGTCAGACGAGTCAAGGGGAAAACCTTGGAAGACACAGGGGAGGGTGCGGGCAGTGAGCTTGTCCGTGCCAGAGGCACGAACGTGAGCAAGGCAGCCCCAGACGTGGAATGCAGATGCGTCACCAGGAGACCCGGACCAAAGAAGGGTCGGCGAAACCTGCGGCTGCTGGGGGTGCATCCACTGGTTAAGCTGGTGAGCGGCGTAACAAATGGCGAACGGCCACAGAAAATGGGGTGCGCCGGCATGGATCATGGAGGTACGAGCCACCTCCATAACCAAACCGATGCGTCGCTCAGCGACCCCATTTTGTTGCGGGGAGTCCGGCAGGGTGAACGTCTGGGTGATGCCCTCCGCACGACAGAAACGACCAAGGACGCCGGAGGCAAACTCGCCACCACGGTCAGAGTGGAGACGCAAGACAGGGAGACCGCGGTGGACACGCGCAGAGACAAGCCACAGGGATAAGGACGTCAGGCACGTCGGCCTTCCGCTCCAGGGGAAACCCGGTGGTGTAGCGCGCGTAGTCGTCGACAAGCACTAGGAAGTAGCTCTCTCGACACGGCCCATGGACGTGGGCGGCAGATGTCCATGTGCAGGGTCTGTAGCAGTGCGGCGGTGGGGGGGAATGAGGAGGAGTGAGGGGCACGGCGGAGCCGGCCCTTGACACAAGGCATGCACGGTGGCGCTGGGGAGGAGGGCAACTTGGGGAACGACCCTGGGAGACCTAGGCCAAGACCGTGCTGAGACATGTGATGCAGATGAGAGCGCAGGGTGACCAAGACGGTGGTGCCACTGGGGTGTCGGGTGAGTAAGAGACCGACACGAGCAGGCCGCAGCAACCTGAGGAGACGCCGCTACGTGAGGAGACGTCCCAACCGGGGGGGGGGACGGTGTCCAGTGTGAACAAGCCGGACACTGGGTATCGGGGGAACGTGGTGAGAGGAGCACCAGTGGCAGCCTCGGTACAGGCAGCGTACCTCTCGGGACCAGGGAACGTAGTGGTGACGCCAAGGTCCTGGAGGCAGCCGACACCAACTAGGTTCCTAGTGAACGAGGGGATGTGCAGGCCTGTAAGAGAGCCCGAAGGAGCCGCCAGACAGGGAAGGGTGGTGGAACTATGGGCGACTACCATACCGGAGGAGGGGTCAGCAAGGGAAACCGCGGCAGGAGCAGTAAGTGGCGTCAGCGTAGTGGAGTCGCGGAAGAAGCACCGAGAAGCGCCAGAGTCCAGGGTGAAGGAGAGCGCAGCAGTGGCGGCTGGAGTCGGAGCAATGAGGGAAGAACCAAGGCTAAACAAGGCAGGGGGTCCTACACCTGACGCAGCAGGGAAGGCAAGACTAGACACACCTACACTAGGTAACAAGGGGTAGTAAGAACCAGTCACACTAGAGTCATCGGCATACAGCACATACAAGGCAGAGCTAAGCTCATCCATGTCCATGTAAAAATCGGAACACTACGGCGAAGCAAGCTGTAACAGTCGGGGAGGTCGGGCGCCGGGCCTAAGCGAAGACGAAACAGGTCATCCAGGCGACGAAAACAGCGGACGGGGGTGTGATCGATCACACCACGAACGGAGCCGCGGCGAGGACCGGTCTGGAGCTGGTACTGACAGGGCCCGTCACCCGAACTGCCAACCGGAGGGACACCACGCGCAACCACTACGTCCACCGCCACCATCAGCGCTAGGCCATCCGGGCAGAAGACCACCCGCCCGCCTCTGCTGCTGCTGCTGCGGTGGGTGCTGGGGCTGGTGCTGCGGCTGGTGCTGGACTGGCTGCGACACCTGCGGCTGCTGGGATGGCTGCTCGGCTGCACCAGGCATGGTCACCTCGTCCGCGCTACCATCGGGCGACCCGACTCCACCACCACCTCCACGCGAGCCACCACCCCCACCCCCGCGCCCAGCCTTGGGGCGGCGACCCTTCCCCGGACGAAACTGCGCTGCAGCTGCGGTCTCGGCCACAGCAGGAGAACCGTCCAAGAAGGTGCACTGAGCGGGGGCACAACCCTGAAAGATAGGGACCGGCACAGTACCGCTGATTTGGGCGATAGCAAGACGGTCACCGGGGTGGATGCTAAGAAAGCAATCGCGGGCAGTAGCAAGCCGGTCAGGGAGGCGGGTGGCAAGCAAGTAGAGTGTAGAGCAGAGGGGCGGCTGAAAGGCTCTAAGCTGGGTCTCAGTGTAGGCAGCGCGCCAGGTCGCGTCTATCGTGCGCAGGTGAGCGGCCAGGTCAGCGACAGTGAGGAAAGACGCAAGGTAAGGAAAGAGCATGGGCAGGATCAGGCGACCTACAGAGGCAGCGGGCGGGGTGGAATAGCGCTTGACAATAGCATCTAGGAAATCCTACGCAGTCGTAACCGACCGAAAGCGAGGGCGCTCAGACAGGGGGAGGGCGTGACTGATCGCAAGCTGCGCTACGACGTCACGCGACAACCAGACTGAGCGGGCAAGGGCAGCAGCTGCAGCGGACTCACGGTCAGCGGACGAGGGGTCAGCGGGCAGGGCAGCAGGGGGGTCAGAACAGGGAAGCGTACCGTCAAGGTGGACCGCCAGGGAGTGTCCATCCTGCCGTTGACCAGTGAGATGACGGCGGAGGTCGACCAACCACGTGTCAAACTCGAGCGGCTGACCCTCTGCGTCGAAGCGGAGCACGGAATCCGCCATCAGGAGCGATGCAGCAGCGGTGCAGTGCAGTGAGGGACGGGCGGGAGGGCAGCTAGAAGGGGCGCGAGGGCCGGCTGGAACGGGCGCAAGGGCCGGCTAGAACGGGCGCGAGGGCCGGCTGGAACGGGCGCAAGGGCCGGCTAGGATCGGGCGTGAGGGCCGGTGAGGAACGGGCGCGAGGGCCGGTTAGGACGGGCGCGAGGGCCGGCTAGGAACGGGCGCGAGGGGCCGGCTAGGAACAGGCACGAGGGGCCGGCTAGAACGGGCACGAGGGGCGGCTGGAACGGGCGCGCGGGCCGGCTAGGAATGGGCGCGAGGGGCCGGCGGGAACGGGCGCAAAGGCCGGCTAGGACGGGCGCGAGGGCCGGCTGGAACGGGCGCTAGGGCCGGCTAGAACGGGCGCGAGGGGGGGGGGGGGGCTAGAACGGGCGCAAGGGCTAGCTAGGAACGGGTACGGGGGCGGCTAGGAACGGCGCGGCTAGGGGGGGGACGGGCGGCTAGGACCTAGGGCGGAAGCGTGGGACCTACCTACTCAAGATACCATATCAGAATTGAAGAAGTGATTAGAAGGAGAGAGTACAGGGGTATATAGCCTAGAGTGTTGTACCCTCGAAGGCACAAACCTATATTGTCTATTCTAACATACTTTGATATGTTTGACACAAACATACCATGTGAAAACAGTAATGCAATAGTATTTTCTTGAATACCTCCATTCACAAATAACACACATCTAAGCAGCACTACTTTCAACTACATGCCATCATGCTACACTTGCGATAAGTCTCGCACCCACTCCAGGTCTTCTATCTTGACTGGCAAAAAGGTGCGAACCTTATAGCAAATGGCCTCTCATGCCTTCTTGCAACTCCTCATGACCAGAAGGCAATAAAACATCACTTTTCTAACGCCAAGTGTGGAATGTGCCAGAAGCGGTGCCACCAGGAGCAGTGATGCGGCCAGTATATGCTGCAGGAGCGGCAACCATAGCCACAGCAATAGATCCAATCGTCTTGCCGCCATCCGTGGTCTTTGTGTTTGCGTTGTAGTAAACCGCAGTCGCATTGTAGCGGAAGCACACACCGCGGACCCATGCGCGGTTGCGCCTCACCCAGCCAAAGCCGTAAGGCTGCTGGCCAGTGGTGTTGGTCCACGTGGCACCGGGGAAATTTAGGATAGTGTTGCCGTTATTCAGGACAGCAGCAGCAGTAGGAAGTCCCGGGGTCGGCAGCCCGCCGATCCTCAGCACGTAACGGACATTGTAGTCCGTGTTGTTCCTGATGAGTGAAGGCAAATACAATGGAAAGAACATGGTTCAATGTCTGCTCAAAGGTCTGCAAAATCGGAAACTGAGGGGCAGAAGTCACGCCGCGAGAGAGTTAGGAAAGGTGTCCTTTGCAAACAGACTCACTTGAAGACCACAACTTGCATGCGTCCAGTGATGTTGCCGCTGCCAGTCAGAATGGCCTCCACGTGGCCGTAGAGCGTTCCCAGAGCGGCGCCAGGGCCCAGCCCGAGGCCTGCACCAGCCCCACGTCCGAACCCGCCCCCGCCCCCTCCGCGTCCCCCGCCGAAACCCCTTCCTCCTCCGCGCCCTCCGCCGCCCCTGCCGCCGCCATAGCCGGGTCCCTGAGCATGAACGCCTGAATAATCACGAGTAGGCAGGGAAATCTGAAGATAGGCGATCTGTTCACGTGATTGTACGAAGCAAACCGCGCTATGCGAGCTGCAAAAAAAGAGTGGGCTTAGTTGTGATGAGCTTTACCTGCGACGAGGGCAAGAAGCGCCACGAGGATCACAGCCTTGCTGAGACGAGTCATCGCCTCTCCTTTGAGATCACAGAAAGTAACTCGTACGAATCTGCCTTCGCGAGTAAACGTAAGTCAAACGCGCCCAAGCAAGGAATTGAAGATGAATGAAGAACGACCGGGTAGGTAGTTGGTGTTGTGTGCTGCTTTCGTCGCAAATCCGCCAGCCAAAAATACATATCCATCAAACATCGTGTCTGCCAAGGAGAACACCGAATTCGAATCGCGTCGCCCATCAGGTCGCTGTGGAGGAGGGTGCTCATCGCCAGCGGTGCAACCGAGTCACGGAAAGAGGGGCTGAAAGTACCGGCTCACCCTAGTAGGGTTTGCCCTCAAACAGTGGGGAAAGGGTGGGGTGGGGGAGGTGATAATGAGGGTGGCTTCGTGGGAAATTTGCAATGTCGATTTGGTAAATTACGAAGCGCATACACCTTGGATGCCTCGGATTGCTCCGATGGGCGAGAACTCCGAGTTGTGCGATTCGGCGAAGAATGGCACCTGCACTGGCTTGCCTCCGAAGCTTTTCGTCTCAGGGCACCTTCTCGCGAAAGTGCCTCGCGAGCGAGGTAATGAACAACCTCGTCAAAAGCTGAAGAGGTGGGCGCTTCGTAACAAGTCGCTCACGGGAAAAAAAACATGTGAACAAAAGCTTGCGCACAACAAACAAGAACATATCAGAACGGGTACAAAATCATGCTGTCCGAAATCCTGGGCCTAGACCATAGCTATCTGATATGGCCTTGAGCATGGTAACCACATCATCGGTGGTTGCAAGTGAGTACCGTGCCAGAGACCGCTTCCGTCCCACAGCACACGAGAAGTAGGAATCAGCGTTGAGATCAACAATTGGACAGTACTCCCCACTGCTCCTGTGACTAACATCCTCGCCATGGCCGTCCTCCTCCGAATCCATAACAGTAGGGAGCATTGAGGAGCTCTCTTGAGTGGAAAACCCGGACTCGTCCGAAATGCTTGCCATCCCACTCGAAAAGCTCGGCAGATCGGAAAATCCAGTGATTGGTGCAAGCAACCTCTCACCCGCTTCTCCGACATTGCCTTCTTCTCTCCTCCCACCTCCATCCCCCGCTCCCAGGGTAGACGCAGCACTGCCAGCACTCAGCGAGCAAAGCTCCGCCTCCCCCCGCCCGCCACTGCTGCTGCGGCTCATGCCAGTTTTTCTCGGGCTGCCCGTAGCCCCTTCCAAGGCTGACCCGAGGAGACTGACCAGAGAGGGGGAGGAGAAGGAGAAGGCCGACTTCTTCTCAGACTTCTTGCTCCCCTTCCACCGGAACCCTCCCAGCCCTCCCCCTCGGCTTCGCCCACTGCCACTTCCTCCTGCCCCCCCTGCCCCTGCAGGTGCTGCTCTGCCCTCCAATCCAGTACCCCCTCCGTCTGTGCCCCCCTCCCCCCTGGATTCTGCCTTGAGTCTGCTGCCGCGGGTGGTGACAGAGTCAGGGGTGTGGGGTCGAGGGGAGGTGTCTGGCGCTGCAGCAGCAGGAGCAGGAGCGGCCACAACATGGGGAGCAGTAACTGTGGTGGCAGCAGCTGCAGCAGCTGCAGCCACAGCAGCAGCAGCAGCCGAAGAGCTGGAGCCTGAGACATCCGAAGCACCACAAGCAGCAGCTGCCGCATCCCTTCCCCCGTGTCTCCCCCCCCTCTCCGCCTGGTTTCTATTCTGTGGATCGCCGAATATCACTCGTGCCACAAGCGGCCCCGAACCTCCCCCTCTAGCCGCGGATTGAGGCACGGGACTGCCGTAACCTGGCCCAGCGAACATAGGCAGCTGCGCCGAGCCTAGGCTGTCAGGTCCGGAAACCCCGACGTTAAGAGGAGGTGTGGGAGGGAGGCCAGGCGTAGGCTTGGTGTCAGGAGGGAGAGTGGGACGATCTGGAGGAGTGGAGTGAGTGCTTGTATCGGTGGTGCTTGTAGTGAACGCGGTAGTCGGGTTGGTGTAGTACTCTGGCAGGTAGGAATCGGCATGCTCTAGTGCCGTTATATGGTCCCGTGTGACCTGATCCATGGGACCCCCATCCATGGATGCATGATCCCTGGGGACACCCATGCTGCCATCCATGGGCACGCCCATGCCACCATCCATACCACCCATGGCACCATCCATGCCGGACGGGAAACCATCCATGTCGGATGGGTAGGAGTTGGCAGGCATGTTGGCGTCATGTGGCAGGTCCGGCTCAAAGAACTGGTAGATGTCCTCGTCCTGGGGGGGGGAAGTGAGAGTAGGGGACAGGGAGAGCAAGGGGGCATGCTTGCTCAGTGAACCAGAGTCAGGCACCAATAAATGGTAGATGTCCTCGTCATGGGGGGCGGGGAAGAAGAGTTGGGGAGAGGGAGAGAAAGGCGGCAGGCATGTCGGTCTCGTGTGGCAGGTCGGGCTAAAAAAACTGGTAGATGTCCTCGTCCTGGGGGGGGAGGGAGGAGGGGGGAAAGGGAACGGGTAAAGGGAACGGGTAAAGGAAATGGGTAAAGGAAACGGGTAAAGGAAACGGGTAAAGGAAACGGGTAAAGGAAACGGGTCAAGGAAACGGGGAAAGGGAACGGGGAAAGGGAACGGGTAAAGGGAACGGGTAAAGGGAACGGGGAAAGGGAACGGGGAAAGGAAACGGGTAAAGGAAACGGGTAAAGGGAGAGAGGGAAGAGAATGCTCAATGAACTAGATTCAGGTTCAACCAACTGCAAGACGTCCTTGGGTGGGGGGATTGGGGGGGAAGGGAGGGGAGCATGGGGGAAAGGGGAGGGGGAAAGGGGAAAATGAGAGAGGCAAATGGGCGCAGAGAGAACTAGATTCAGCCTCAAAGAAATGGTAGATGTCCTCATACGCCTTGGGAGGTTGACCGCGGGGGGGGTTTGCATGCATGGGGGGTTTGTACGCATGGGGGGTGTGTATGCATGAAGGGTTAGTACACCTGGGGGATTTGTACGCATGGGGGGTGTGAATGCGTATGGGGTTTGTATGCATGGGGGTTTTGTATGCATGGGGGGTTTGCACGCATGGGGGGCTTTGGGCCTTAACGCCCAGCCAGCCGCGTAAACGTAACGTTACGTTTACATTTACGTACACGTAATTACGCGTACGTTTTTCCGGGCAGGTGGAAAAATCGCCGGGGAAAAGAATCCTGAAATTTTCAGTTCGCGGACTGATGTCAGCTGTTCGAATGTGGAAAACGCCAGCACGTCAAAATCGATAAGGAGATCGCCCTACAATATGCTCGCGATTTGTAATCGTTGGGTGAAGGGGCTGCAATGCGTTTAGAGACTTCTAAGAGATAGGTGGGTAAGTCGTTCTAGACTTGCGCAAACGGAGTTAGGGAGAAGCAGATTAGGTCTAACGAAGAGATGGGAGATGGGAGGGAAGGGGGTTGGTTGGGCGCGTTATTTTTGCGCAGGAGGGGGTGGGTGTTTCGTGCGTTGATTGGCACAAGTTTGACGACGGCCGAGTCAACATCGCCACCTCGCCACCCAGTTTCGTCGATCCGGAAGTGGGAATTTCCGAAACTGTGTCGAATGTCGGAAATTGGGGATTGGCCAATCAATCGTACCTGTCTCGAACCTAGGGCAGCTTTTTTTTTTAACCTGCCTGGAAAGGTAAGCTCATTTCGTCAGCCCAAACGTCCATGTAAACGTAATTGACCAACTAAGGCTTTGACCATGCCAGGCACACAGCAACCCTCCCCACTCACAGCAACCCTCCCCAGACTCACCCGCGAGAGGAAGTGGCCAACAGTCATGACAAAGTCGAAGGGGCAGGGCAGCGGCTTCTGGTGCACGATCTCCCCCAGCACCCTCTCCATGGCTGCTCCCTTGCTCACCCCCACCGGCCGCACCTCAACCGACTTGCCGCCCTGTCATGGAGGAGGAGGGAAGGAGAGGAGGGAAGGAGAGGAGGGAAGGAGGGGAGGGAAGGAGGGGAGGGAAGGAGATGAGGGAAGGAGAGGAGGGAAGGAGAGGAGGGAAGGAGAGGAGGGAAAGAGAGGAGGGAAGGAGAGGAGGGAAGCGATAAGAGTGACTGTCTCCCCCAACGCCTGCTCCATGAAATCTCCCTTGCTCACCCTCCTCTAAAATGTTGTGTGACATTGTAACGAGGTGACTTCTGAGTCGACTCAAAAGTCACCCCAACGCCCGCTCCATGAAATCTCCCTTGCTCGCCCTTCTCTAAAAGTACAGCTGCACCACAGAGGTGCGTGAACCACATGCCACCTGAGTCAGACCAACACCAGGCAGTACCTGCTCCACATCCCATCTGCTCCACATCCCACCTGCACCCAATCCCACCCACCTGCACCCCACAGTACTGAATCGGGTCATACCTGCACCACGTCGACGGCTGTATTTGAGATGGGCCCCGTCCACAGGTGCTGCAGCATGTACGCGCCCAAACTCCACATCCCAAGCCTACCTGCAAAGATGACACCTGCCTTAATTCATACCTGCACGACGTCCACTGCAGTGTTGGAGATGGGCCCCGTCCACAGGTGCTGAAGCATGTCTCGGGCCTGCACGCGGCCAAACTCCACATCCGCATATTTGTAGTTCCACACCAGCGACGTCTCCCGCTCCTCCACATACGACCGCGGGGTGCGCTCTGTGAAGTACTCAAAGACGAGCTGGAACAGGGGGGTGACAATGAGGGCGAGGGTGGGGATACAGGGGTTGCTTTGTAGTTCCACCAGGGACGTCTCCCTCGCCTCCACGTACGACCTAGAGGTGCACTCAGTGAGGTACTCGAATACGAGCTGCTTGGGGAAGGGAGGAAGAGAGAGGGGTGCAGAGGAGTATTTGTAGTTCCACACCAGCGAGGTCCCCCACTCCTCCACGTACAACCTAGGGGTGCGTTTTGTGAGATACTCAAACACAAGCTGTGTGGGTCACAGAAGGGGACTGGCAGTAGTAGGGGTTGAGAAAAAGGCGATGAGAGAAGAGAAGGTGCCTTAAATGCGTGTTGGAAAATACGCTCTCACTCTCGCTCACGCTCTCGCTCACGCTCTCGCTCTTGCTCTCGCTCACGCACTCGCTCTCGCTCTCGCACTCGCTCTCGCTCTCGCTCTTGAAGTGTGGGTTTTGGGGGTTCGGGTTTGGAGGGTGCGGGTTTTGGAGGGTGCGGGTTTTGGGGTGCGGGTTTCCGGGAGTGTGGGTTTCGGGGGTACGGGGGTAGCGGGTTTGAGGGTTTGGGTTTTACGGGTGCGAGTTTTAGGGGTCTCAATGTGTTCGGCAGTTGTATATAGCTGTGCGTAGGCGTAGCTGTCTCAAGGTGTCTGGCAGCTGTCCATAGCAGTCAGTAGCTGTCAGTAGCTGTCTGGAGGTGTCTGTTGTGGTTATGCACTCGTCCCACTGGAGTGCTTAGCACGGATTGCTTATGTACATGGCACTACTGCAGTGACCCTACCCCTCTCACCTGCACCGAGTCGAGCCGGTCCATGTTGAGGAGCCTATTTTTGAGGCGCCTCAAAAATAGACTCCTGGTCCATGTTGAGGCCCTCGGGCGGGCATTAGAGGTCATCCACTCACGGTCGCACGTTGTACGCATGGAGTGCTGCTGCGCACTATGCTGCTGCACTGACGCTACCCCCCCACACCTGCGCAGGTGCACTGCACAGCACCCAACCCCGCCCCCTCACCTGCACGGAGTCGAGCCAGTCCATGTTGAGATGCTCGGGCATGGTGGTCATCCACTCCCCTCGCGAGTGCCGCATGAACATGCCGTTCTCCGCTGCCAGCCACACGTCGTACTCCGAAAACGCCTCGTCCAGCACCGCCCGCTCCGACCCGCTCATGATGACCACCGTGTTGGCCGGGTCGGAGGAGAGACGGCGCAGCACCGTGGGCATGATGGGGTGTAAGCGGACCTGGTGAGATGGGGATGGGGATAGAGACACAGGAGACACAGGATACACGGGGATAGGGTCTGAGAGCACCTCCAGCACACATGGTACTCTGAAAAACTGGTAGGATGGGGTGTGATGATGTGGGGAAAGGCGCAGGGATGTGATGATCTGACAGCCCCACATGGTCCTAGACATGGTTAAAGTGCGATGCGACATTATATCGCATCGCTCTGGCTGCAATAGCGATTAATATCACGCGATATTACATAGCATCGCCTGCGATATAATTTCTGGAAACCCAACATCGCATATCGCATTTCAGGTGCGATATGTGACTATCGCACTTGAAAATGCGATAAATCGCGAGATGCGATATAATATCGCATCGCTTTTCATCCAGGGCTCCAGAACCCGGAATGCCACTATGGAAAAAAAAGGCAGAGACGCGTAATATCGCATGCGATATCAACTATCACATATCGCATTTATATCGCGGGTAAAAAACGCGATAAATATGCGATATCAAAATACCGAGCGATATTTATCGCATCGACTAGCGCGAAATAAACTCCCATATCGCTATCGCAAAAATGCGATATACGCGATATTATATCGCGCAATGCGATGCAAAATAACCACCTCTACATGGTATACCCTTCATTGCTGCATCCCTCACCCACTTTCACCTCTACCTCTACCCCATTTCCTCCCACCTCCATCTCTCCCCTCGCACCTCCACCCCTCGCCCCTCGCCCCTCGCCCCGCACACCTTCATCTCTTTGATCTGGTCGGGCGTTCTCCGTCGGTGCGGCTCCACCTGTGCTGTCAAAGTGCCATTGTAGCCCTGGGGGCAGAGGATGGGGGTGGCATGGGGAATCGTTTTGAGGCGTCTCAAAACTCAGCGTGCCATTGTAGCTTTGGGGGCGGAGGGTGGGGACGCAATCGGGAAACGGGCGGCTTCAGAATTGCCGCTGCAATCCTGGGGGTAGAGGGTGAGGGCGGAATGGGGAGATGGACTAGGAGCAAGGGACAAAGTGGTACGGAAATTTGGGAATGGAAAGAGAACGAACGGGACAGTGGGAAGGAGGATGGAAAAGGAGGATAAGAGAAGGAAAAACAGGGAATGAGAAACTGTCAGAGGAGAGGAGAAAACATGGGCAAGGATGGTTCACACCACTCGTTTCTCCCCCCTTGCACACACACGCACCAGGATGAGCAGGCGGTGGAAGCAGTCTAAACACTGGGGCACACTGATGGGTTGAAGTCATTCCCACAAAATTTGGGAGCACTCAATACACTCAGCACACGCAGCCCACTCAACACACGAGGACACACGGTCGCACCAGGATGAGCAGGCGGTTGTGGCACTGGTGGAAGCGGTCCACGCACTGGGCAATTGGCAGCAGTGGAGGGATGTGCAGCGTGCGCAGCTGGGCCTCCACCACCGTGTCGTTCAGCTCGCTGGGAGGGTGGGGAGCAAGTGCCAGTAAGAGGTATGAGGGAACAGTGGAAACAGGATCATCAGCTAGAGGATGTGGCAAGCCAACGGGTGGGCCAAGCCGACCTGAAAGAGACATTAAACGTGGCGGTCAAAGAGACGAGATGGAAGGGGAGAGACACACACGAGAGGTGGTACTACCTATGGGAGTTTCACTCACCTCACCACCGCCTCGTCCATCCCAATCACTACCTGACAAACGTGTCCGCCCAAGCCTGGGCGGTGTGTGTGGTGACATGCAGGAAGTTGTAGCGGTGGCGGTCCACCCGCTCCTCCTCGCCCATGGTCAGCGCGTCCTCGATGGCGCTCGACATGTCGTTGATGTTCCACGGGTTCACCAGCAGGGCTCCTGCTCCCAGGGACTGGGCTGCTCCTGCAAACTGGACTCCAAGATTCGGGGTGCAAGGTCAGGGTTTTAGTAGGGGAGGAGAAGAGAGGGGGGGGGAGGTCAGTCAGAACGTTCCCTGTGTGGCGGTCCATCCTCTCCTCCTCGCCCATGGTGAGCGTCCTCGATGGCGCTTGACATGTCCTTGATGTTCCATGCAGAGTTGGACTTTTACGAACGTTCACGTATCGTTTACGTATCGTTGTCTGGTTTTGGACTAACATTTACGGTCGGCCATAAAATTTTCCCTGGCTGTCCGAACAAAACAAGGTTTCCGCGTCACATTTCGTCCCACACACGTTTTGTGACGACGAATTTGGGTGTAGCAGGGGAGTGGCTGGTTTTTGGCGAATCCAATCGGTCGTTGAATTTCCACCCCCACGGCCAACCCAATTTCCCATGCACACCGCGCCTACCCCTCGATTCCCTTCTCCACTTCTTCCTCGACGAATTCCTTCACCTACCTCAGTCGCGTCATACTTCTGCAACAGGCGTCAAACTTCCACGCAGCCAAGACGCAAGCTACTAGCAGAATTTCAGTTGACTAAACTGCGGACATGCGATGATCTTCTCCCAAACGTAACCTTAGTCCCTCCCTGGTACAACCGCAAAGTAAACCTTTCCAGCCGTGGGCAGTCAGGTTCGCGTCTTTCCATTCAAGACCAAAATTTCTCGCCATTTTTTTCCCCGGAAAAAAAGTTTCAACCCGCCCAGCTTTAGTAGGGCACGTTCGTTGACGCATCACGTAACGCTAACGCAGCCCAAAATAGGGTTAGAGCCCAAGTTCACCAGCAGCTCCCCTGCTCCAAGTGATTGGGCCACTCCTGCAAACTGGACTCCAACATTCGGGGTGCAAGGTTCAGGATGTCACGATGGGGAAGATATGGGGAGGGAGGCGGGTGCTTCCTTTGTGATGCCCGCGTGTCCACCGGTACTGCCCCCGCTCCCAGCGACAGTGCTGCTGCTCCTGCCTTGCCAACTCCATGGCACGATGGGAGATAGGACAGTGGCTGCCAGGCACGGTATATGATAGGGAAGAACAGGGCACGAAAAGGCACAAGGGCACATACCTCACTGAGGATGAGCACGCCCTTCTTGTAGTTCTGGCACGCCACGTACTCGTAGCTGACCAGGTTCATGCCGTCCCGCAGCGACGTCACCAGCAGCACGTCCGTGATGGCGTACAGCGCACACAGCTCGTGGAACGCCAGCGAGCGGTCCTGAGGAGGAGGGGTAGGAACGGGCAGGGAAGCAGTGTGGGGGTGGGAGCACGGAAAATCACCAGCAGCACGTTCGTGATGGCGTACAGCGCACACAGCTCGTGGAACGCTAGCGAGAAGTCCTGTGTATGGGGGAGGGAGAGCAAGGGGAGTGGGGAAGCAGGAGTGGGGGCTCGGCAGCAGTGAAGCAGGAGGAAGGGGGCAGTGACCAGCGGCATGTCTGTGATGGCACACAGCGCACACGCACAGTTCGTGGAGGGCGAGAGAGTGGTCCTGAGGTGGGTGGGTGAGGGGAGCGGCTGACGAACTAGAGCATATGGCTTAAAGCGTGAGAGTTTGATGCTCAAAAGACCGTGAACAGTGGCGATTGGATTGGATCTAACCAGTTGATAAACGGTGGAGATTAGAGCTTACTAGATGGTGGATGGGGACGGTGGTGAGGGTGCCAAATCTGCCATTGATTCGCCCCACAATCTCATGCACCAGGCTGGTCAGCTTCTGGTCTGGTGGAGGGGAGCATTGGGAGAGGGAGCAAGGGGAGGAGACGAGGGAGAACAAGAGGGTTGAAATTGCTATGCAATCATTGCACGAGAGCAAGTTTTGAGAGCATGTCGCAAGCTGCAAGCAGCACTCACATTCCGGCACGTCGGTGCGCGAGGGAACAGCGATCTGCACAAGCAGCACCTTATCCCGCCAGTCGGGGTGCTCCTCCAGAAACTTCTCAAAGGCAATCAGCTTCTGCGGGATGCCCTTGATCATGTCCAGCCGGTCCACCCCCAGCATCACCTGCGGGACGGAGAGAGGGAGGACGAGGGGAGGGATCTGCTGACTGCAATGCACAGGACACAAGTAACAGTGTGTGTCTGCGGGGGTGCTTGGCATGATCTCACACTTCAGTAACTGGATTCACATCTCACTATCCCCCTGCTTCGTCGCACTTCAGTATGAGCACGTACTTCTCCATTTGAGTCCCTCCATCGTGCCCATCACCTTCTGCCCACTCCCCCGCCTCCCCTTTTCCCACACCTCTTTCCCCACCCATTCACTCACCTTTCGCCCTGAGAACCGCGCTCGGAGCTCCGCAATGTGTGTTTTGACCACGTTGCTCTCCAGCGCTGAGATGAACCGCTCAGGGTCGATGCCAATGGGGAACTGCCACGTGGCACAAATTGAATAGGAGGTACATGATTGAGGCAAACAAGCTTGTACACATGCATAAACTACAAGCACAGACACACACACACACACACACACACACACACACACACACACACACACACACACACATCCATGCACGCGCACACACACACACACACGCACGCACGCATGCACGCACACACACACACACACACACACGCACACACACACACACACACACACACACATTATCTTAGACAGTATGCACACAAACATACACATGTATACTCCAATTCACACATGTCCACTCACAGCTGCCACTCGTGTGAGTCGCCCATGATCCTCAACCCCCTCGGGGGTGCCCTCGAGTCCAAGAATCCGTGCACACGCACTCACAAAGTGCCGCCCATAGTCATATGTGTGGAAGCTGTATGGGAGGGAAGGTGGAGGGCAAATGAGAGAAAATGACGTCACTTCTCAAAGGAACGACCATAGTTGTCTTTAAGTCACATGTAATATGCAGAGTCTCCTTCGTTCTAGTCTAAAACTGAACAGCTCACTCATAAACGTCTCCTGCATTTGGCACTCCTTCAACGTTTGTCCTCGTTATAAGCTAACTCAATCAAGTGACCAACTCACCCGATGAGATCAGCAGCGAGCACAGCTTGCAGGATCTCCTCTCTTAGGGGCAGAGCTCGGAAGAACTCGCTGGAGGGGAAGGGCGTGTGCAGGAACCACCCCACCTTCATGCTGGGGGGCGGGGGGAGTGGAGGAGGAGGAAGGGAGACGGGAGCATAAGGCATTGGAGGCAAGAAGATGATGTTTCTCTTTGCAAAGGATCAAGAGTGAAAGAATGCCCAGAAACCACCGTGCGCTCACGATGTGAGGGGAGTTTGAGAAAAACGGGCAAAGAGGACCACACCATTGGCAGAGGGTGGGAGGGAAGGAGAGCATGGGAGAGAACAGTCACAAGGGGTGAGAGCAGTTCACTTGTGCCTCCGTGCCTTGAGGTTTTGCGGCAGCAGCATGAGGAGGTAATCGTGCACCCGCACGATATCCCCCTGCCAGCACTCCAATAATCCCCCACCTCTCCCCTCCCCCCTCCCTCCCTCCCAACTCACTTGGGGCTCCTGGCCTTGAGGTACTGCGGCAGCAGCATGAGGTGGTAATCATGCACCCACACAATGTCCCCCTGCCGGTACTGGGCCATGACCACGTCAGCAAAGCTGTGATTGGCCGACCGGTACGCGCCGTACTGGCCCTGGATGGAGCGCGTGGCGGACAGGCGGTCCTCCTGGGGGAGGCCGATGTAGTGCAGCAGCGGCCACAGCACGTTGTTGCAGTAGCCGTTGTAGTACGCGTTCATCGTGTGCTCGTCTAGGAACACAGGCACGCAGCCCTGCACGGGGGGCAGAGACGAGGGGGAGAGAAGATGCGTTGCTGGTTAAGGTCCAGTGGACAATAGTCAGATGTCTTGCTGCTCAACTCGAAACGGACCAACGCCCACTGGACCATACCCATCAGACAACTGCCCCCTGATCACAAGTTCGCAACCCCCTCCATTGAGCCCCACCCCACCTTGGCCTGCAGGGCGTCGTGCAGCGCCTGCTGGTCCGCAGGCGACTGCAGGTACAGCCCCGGCCACCCGATCCAGCACGTCTCAAAGTTCTGCTTCACGCCTGCATGGTTGCAGGGACACATGGGTGCATGGGTAGAGGAGAAAGAGAGAGGAAAGAAACAAACAGACTGCATGAGAGGAAAGAAAAGTTGGTGCATAGATAGAGGAAAGCGCCGGGGGGGAGAGCGGAGAGGCACAGCTCTACCGCCAGCAGGGCATCTCACTCAGCTCTGGACTAACTTACCCAGCGGCGCACTGACGACGCCCCCAGCTGACAGCTCCAGGGCCCACGTGCCATCCGGCAGCTGACCTGACCCTCACAGGGAGCCGGTTCGCCACTATCAGCAGACTAAGTGTCACAAGCATGCCACAGTAAACTCGAACGTGAACTTACCTAGCAGAGCACTCACGAGCCCACCAGCCGAGAGCTCCAGAGCCCACGTCCCGTCGGGCTGCAGGCTGGCCCTCACAGGGAGCCGGTTCGCCACTATCAGCAGCCGCTGCATCCGCTGCTGGGGGGCAGGCGCTGGCGGCGGGGTTGGGGGAGGCTCGACCCGGGGAAGCTCAACTGGTGCAGGCTGTGGCGTTGCTGCTGCTGCCACTGCTGGTGCTGCAGATGCTGCAGCAGCTGCTGCTGCCGCCGCTGCCGCTGCTGCTTCTGCTGCGGCGGAGGCTGCTGCTGCAGTTCCCAATGCTCCATGCTGTGGGTCCGGGTCCATAGCTCGGCCAGGAGCGCCTGTCCCATGTAGCCCTACCCCAGGTCTAGCGCCCATCCCATGCGGAGGCGACGCTACCACCAGCCCTGCCCCCCCCACTCCCATGCCTACTGGAACCGCCACTCCCGGAATCCCTGCCACGCCCGGCAAGACCCTAAACCCGGGACTAGCACCTCCCGATCCCACGTCCCCGCCTCCCATCCCCTCTTCTGGGATCCGTTCCGCGAGCCCTGCTGCCTGAGCGGCCGCAGCAGTGAGCTCGCCGCTGCTGCACACCCGCGGCATGCCGCCCCCTCTCCTGAAGGATGAATATGGGGTGACAGAAGAGGAGAGGCGCGGAGTAGAGGTAGACGGGCGTGGAATGGCTGGCGAAGCCGTGTGGGGCGACGAGGAGGGGGGGTACGGGGAGGTGGTGGCGGAGGGGAGACGGGGAGGAGTGGAGGAGTGCGGGGTGGGGGTGTAGGAGGTGTGCGGGGTGTAAGAAGCCGCAGCGGCGAGGTTGTCATAGCTAGAGTTGCGGCTGTCCGGACCTATCATCAGGTCCACCGGAGCTAGAGGCCCGGACCTGGTGCCGAGGGCGGCCGAACCAAACGCATATTTGCCACGGGAGCTGGTGCTGGCTCGGCCGATCATAGGGCCACGCCCTGGCACCCATGCTGCTCCTGCACCCCCTCCTACCCCCCCTCCTCCTCCGTCCCCTGCTCCCCCTCCTGCTGCTCCTCCTGCACCTGCTCCAGGAGCTCCTGACGTGGCAATTGAACCAGCACTTCCGTGTGACGTGGCAATGCCACGTGGCGTCATTATCCTCCCATCCGCCGAGTCCACGTCAAACTGCAAGAAACTTGTGCTTCGCCTCATCTGCCTCTCCCTCAGCAGCCGCTCAACCCGGGTAGAAGACTGGGAAGGTGGTATCGGCCGGGGGGTAGTTGGCTGCCGGAGGAAATTACCCATGGAACTACCGAAACTGCCCGAACCACCAGTGGAAAAAGCTCCAGAGTTCGAAGCGGCGGCGGCTGCTGCTGCCTGGGAGGCTTGGACGGCTGAGATTGCATCTTGAGCGGCCTCTTCGTAAGATGAGGAGAGTCCTCGGTAGAAGGTGGGACGACGGGGGGTACCGGGGATGTTCACCCCTTGCTGCTGCTGCTGAAGCGGCTGCTGCTGCTGGTTCTGCTGATGCTGCTGCTGGTTCTGCTGCTGCATCATCAGCTGCTGGTGAGGGGGGTACAGGAGCTGCTGCACCTGCAGCTGCACCTGTGGCGGATGAGGCTGTAGCCCCTGTCTCTCGGGGCCAGACGCACTGGCGCTGCCGCCTGTAGCATGAGCCAACCTGGCAATCTCCCTCGGCGTGGAGAGAGAAAATCTCCGTTGAATTCTGCCGCCCTCAAAACCAAATCTTGACCCAGATCCACCAACCCCCGCTCCGCCTCCCCCCATGCCTCCTCCCCCCATCCCCCCTCCGCTCACTCCTCCCCCTCCCCCCCCACCAGCTCCATAGCCAGCATCAGCCCCACCGGGCCTCCCCGCGCCGTCTCCTGCTGCATACCGCCATGGATCCCTGCCTGCCTCCTGGAAGCTTCGTGGGTCCGAATCTTGAGTAGGAACGCGAATAGCCCAGGGACCGGCGTCGTAATGACCTCCGCCTGTCCCTCCCGCTCCCCCCACTCCGCCTGCTGCGCCAGCGGGTGTTCCACCAGCTGTGGTTCCGCCTCCCCCAGGGGTGAAGTTGCTGCTGAGGCTGCTTCTCCGCGGAGGAACGTCCGCGGATCCATCTTCCGCAGCGCCGGGGGGTTTGATGGAGAGGGAGTAGCGCGTGGGGGCCATGGGGAGACGATGACGGCGCAAAGCCCTCCTTTGTGTCAGTCGATCGGCTTAATGACTCATGGCTAAGTGTCTCACTTAGGGCTTAGACGAGCGATGGGATTCTATACTAATTGGCGGAATAATCGGAGTCCAGATACTGTGGCCGGAACGGCATCAGGCAGTGATAAAGCGAACGTGTTAAAACAATTATTAATGGAAACTCTTAGAAAGTGCAGACTTAATCACCACGAGGTTACAACACAGCAGCGGTGCCGGTCAGCGTTGCTGGTCTGCGTAAACGGCACTTCTTAGAAACTGTGGTCGCTCGCGGTCCAAGTACGAAGGACATCCGTCGAAACGAAGGCGGAAACATGTGAACGTGTAGCAGGAAGGGCCTGGCTCTACAAGCATGTGAAGGAGGTGGAAACTACAAGAGTACTAGGTCGTCCTGTCAACTATTTCCCCGTGATACCCTGAAGAGGAGGAAGCATTACTGATGGCTGACTCCCCAGCACGCAGCGACTACCGTGATATCCAAAGGTCATAAATTTCGAGGTCTCACAGGGTCAGGCAGACTTGTCAGGGAGAAAAAATTGCTAATAACAAGAATATCACGGGTTTTGTTCCAGGCAAGGTCATCAGGAGAAGATTTCTCCAGGAGGGTGATTTTGTGGTTGCTGCTGGCGGGACTAGTGTGGTGTGTCAGCTGGGCTACCGGTTGACGTGGCATGCTGGTCGCCTGATCGGAGGGTTTCCCCCCCACCGCCACAATCCACCAACCAGCAGCTTGCGCGGTGAACTTTTGGCTAGAGCTCAGCTCCTGGGAGCAAGTTTGTGTCAAATTTACACGAGTGGGATTTCTGACAGCTGACAAGCGAAATGTGCAGTTTCGCGGGGTTCGGTTTTGAACCTCGAGACTGTCTCGAACCGAAACCAAGTTCAAAAAGTACCAGGAAATTCGACCGCGGATTCGTACATATTCCTGGTACAAACCACATACAAAATACGCAGTTTCAGGTAAGGCGTCCTGGCCCTTGGGCGAATAGGGAAGGAGTGTCGATTCGTGTTTGATAGCTGCTTGTCAGAGTTCTGATGTTTAGTCGACACCCGAAAGCGTAGCTTACAAGGACTAGGTCCATCCGACAGCGTGAGACCTTGGGTTGATCAAGCCGCTCTGCGCTAGATCCTCGTTTCTCACCTCCTAGCGTGTGAAGGATTCGCGATGAGGGCCCTGACGTTGCCGCCCGCTATAGCCACATTCGTTATAGTGGTCCTCGGCGAGGTGATCCTGAGGACCCTTCGCCGCTTCCTCCCGGTACGTTTGTCGACTAGATATGCCCAGATTATATCAGTACGCGCATGACATCCCGTTTTGAGCTCCTTCGATTCGCCGACACAGTCATCGCAGCCTTTTCTGTAGTAGGTACAGCTCGTCTGACACTTTCTCTTCACCATATCGCATTAACACGTGGTCGCTTCACACACCCATTCCGCGACCAGGAGAATCTGTCAGCGCGCAAGGAGGCGGCCCTTGCCACGGAGATAAAGCGCCTCAAGAAAGAAGCAAATAGACTCAACACGTGAGTCCTTCCACATCCTGAGATCCCGCTGGCCCTCCTTGCATCTCTGTTTCCAACTCCTACTCTCTCCACTTTCCCCCTTTCGTCGCATCCATCCATGATTCAAAATCCCCAACCTTGTCCCGTGCGTCTTCTTCTTCCGCCTGCAGTCCCAGCACCTTCTCCCGCTCTGCGCTTCTAACTCGCACGGCCACCGCCAAGGAGAAGGAGCTAAACGCACGTACGTGGAACGCCGCTCCTGACACTCATTTTCTTTCTTACGTTTCTCTACTTGTGCTTGTACCTTCTCTGCTCATATGCGTTGTTTTGCATGGCCCTCTTTGCCTCAGCAAATTTGACGCCCTTTCCTTTGTCCCCCTATGCTCATTGGCAGTAAAGGCGCAGCCATCCCGTGTTTGGTGGACGTTGATTCGGTTCGCCCTCCCATACACCATACAGGTACATGCCATGCAGATGCAAATGCACCTGCACATGCACATGCACATGCACGTCTGCACTTGATGCTGCATACTAGGCTGTTGAGGCTTCTCAAGGATGTGCGAAGCAGCTCTAGGTGGGTGGGTTGAACTTACAGGGCTCGCCTCTGGTGGATTGGTCTGAAGACGGAAGACACCGATTCGCATGTCGCATTTCAGGCGTACTTTTCCAGCCTATCACGGGGCTCATCTGTTATCATCTCATCCCCTCCCCCTCCCCCCCTCCCTCCTCCACACACAGGCGTGCGCCTATGTGGTGCTAGTGCTCTCGTTCCGCTCAACGCCTGTTGTCATTCTGCCGGTGGACATCGTCTATCCATTCGGTAAGCACAATCATCCTCGCGCTGACAGCCGCTGCCTGCCTGTGCTTTCGTGTGCGGTTTTGTCCCCTCTTTGATTGGGTGTAGCTTTCTCTGTTGACTCCAATAGGCGAGGCATTTAGGTAACTTATTGGTTTTCCAACCCATGTCTTCTCTTGGCGAGCAGGGTCAATGCTTGCATTTCCCCATGGAGCAAAGTGGCAAGGAGGCGGAGCTGTGAGTCTCTTTACCCTCTCTTGTTCCTCCCAACCATTGCAAGCTTCCTGTATAAGCGCATTCTCATTGAAAGCATGTTGTGTGCATACTTTGCATCAATGTGTTATGTTATCTGTGTAAATTTTGTTCCTCCCCCTCCCCCCCCCCCCCCCCCCCCGTTCTTTCGCCTTCCAGGTGTCGGTAGTTGCTTGGCTAGCCCTCACTTCCAGAGTAGGTAGACTTCTGGCTGACCATATCATCTCAAGATGATCATACACGGCTCCTGTTTTTTTGCTTCGTGACGGCTAATTCGTGTAGTATAATAGCAGGAGGGTGTTACATGCATTTGACACGCACGGATATCGGTCAGGGCCCAAAATTGGTTTTAGGCCACTCTTTGAGATCAGAGTAGGAAAAAAAAAATGCCCTGACGGTCAGAGCTAAAAAAAATCTAAGTCTGATTTGGCAGGGTAAAAAAATTCGAAGTCTTTGCTTCAAGTGTAGAACTCTTTGCACCCTTTCTAGCCTTGGCCATTTAAGGAACATTTTACATGAATGAAGTGGGCTGCACTGAGGTGTGGAAAGAAGGGTGTAGCGGATTTGCGCGTGTTGGGGGAGATTGGGGGATGGGATGGGACGGAAAACGATTCTGGGGCGCGAGAGGGGAATCAGATTTACATGGGCGGCAGAGGGGCGGGAAAAAAACCATCTGCTCGTGATTGGTTGGGTGTCAGAAGGGCGTATACGACGTGACGTGTCTTGCTGTGGTGTGGAGGACTTAGCGAAAAAAAAAAGGTAGCGGGGGTGTGGTTGGGAGGCATGTCTCTTGTGGGGGACTTAGCCATTTCTGGGTTGCGAGGGGGTGAGGGAGCTATGACTCTGGCTACGACTTAGCCGAAATTGCTGGCTTGCATGGTGCGTGGGGTGGGAGGAATGACTCTGGCTGCCAGGGACTTCGTCGAAATTTTTGGTTGCAGGGTGTTTTGGGGGAAATGTTTCTGGCCGCCAAGGACTTAGTCGGAATCTCGGAGTTTCGATACCAGGGTAGTTTTCAGGACGCCCTGAAGGGTCAGGGTTCGGGGCCCCGCAACCCTAGTTTCGGCAGGGTAATATTTTCGTAACACTTTTTGGATCAGGGTAATAAATTTCGTAAGTCTGATTTTTAAGACCAAATGAAAAAATGCCCTGAAAAATCAGGGCAATCAGGGCATTTTACCCGGCTAATTTGAGCCCTGATATCGGTTCACGCAATTCACTACATCGAGAACACCGGCTGCTATCTGGTCAGCATCAGGGAAAGGCGGTCGAAACCGATCCAAGTCGTGCAAGCCGAGTCCATCAGACCACACGAAGCCACTAGCGGATGCTAGCCCTTCCGCTTATCTGATCGCATCACAACCCGCCTTCTGCTGGCATCCATTCCTCCGTGAAACGAGCGCGTCGCGCATCGCGATCGAATCCCCTGGCATGGCTCTTCTGCTCGGCCCCGCCGTCCCACACGCGTCCGCGCCCGTACCGTCTCGATCGCCAGTGCGAGGCGCCCCTTACACGCCACGTGGCACAACTCGCACTGCGCGCTTTTCCATTCCGCCTTATTCTCCCCTCCGCATTATCTCCCACACTGCCGGCAAAACCCCCCTCTCGTCCGCACACGCGTCTCGCTTTCTGACTTCTCGGGTCAATAAAGGCCTTCTCGGCCCTGCCTTCGCTCGCCCTGGCGAAGCCTCGCATGCCTCAGGCCGACTCAGATACCGCCGCTCTGCTGCCGCTACACGGGTCAACGCGGTCAACGAGGTCAATGCGGTCAACGCGGTCAACGCCAGTGAGGTGGAGGCGAGAATTGCTGTCGCTGGCAACACAGGCGCGTTGGACCTAAGCGACTGCGGTGAGATTCCCACCGCCCAGTGCACGACGCCACAACCTTTTCCACCCATAGGCACCGCATTCCCAAGATCGCCTCGCTGGGCCATGTGCGCTCGCTGAGTGTGTTCATGAGCGAGCGCGTACGTGCATCAGTGCGCATGTGCAATCTTACCTTATTTTGCAAACTAAGTGTCCTACTGGGTAAACAAAACCCTCTGGAAAGGAGAAGTCTCGAGGCATGCCGCGCCGCCCGAGCCATGCCGCCCGAGCCATGCCGCCCGAGCCATGCTGCCCAAGCCATGCCGCCCGAGCCATGCCACCCGAGCCATGCCGCCCAAACTGTGCCGCCCGAGGCATGCCGCCCGAGGCATGCCGCCCGAGCCCGAGGCATGCCGCCCGAGGCATGCAGCCCGAGCCATGCCGCCCGAGCCATGCCGCCTGAGCCAAGCCGCCCGAGCCATGCCGCCCGAGCCCGAGGCATGTCGCCCGAGCCATGCAGCCCAAGCCATGCCGTCCGAGAAATGCCGCCCGGGCCATGCCGTCCGAGAAATGCCGCCCGAGCCATGATGCCCAAGCCATGCCGCCCGAGTCATGCCGCCCAAGCCATGCCGCCCGAGCCATGCCGCCCGAGGCACGCCGCCCAAGCCATGCCACCCGAGCCATGCCGCCTGGACCATGCCACCCATACCATGCTGCCCGAGGCATGCCGCCCAAGCCCCAGGCATGCCCCCCGAGCCATGCCACCCGAAGCATGCTGCCTGAGCCATGCCGCCCGGGGCATGTTGACCGAGCCATGCCGCCCGAGCCCGGACCATGCCGCCCGCGCCATGCCGCCCGAGCCATGCGGCCCGAGCCATGCGGCCCGAGCCATGCGGCCCGAGCCATGCTGCCCGAGCCATGCCGCCCGAGCCATGCCGCCCGAGCCATGCCGCCCGAGCCATGCCGCCCGAGCCATGCCGCCCGAGCCATGCCGCCCGAGCCATGCCACCCGAGCCATGCCATCCGAGCCATGCCGCCCAAGCCATGCCGCCCGAGCCATGCCGCCTGAGCCATGCCGCCCGAGCCATGCTGCCCGAGCCATGCTGCCCGAGCCATGCCGCCCGAGGCATGCTGCCCGAGCCATGCCGCCCGAGTCATGCCGCCCGAGCCATGCCATCCGAGCCATGCTGCCCGAGCCATGCTGCCCGAGCCATGCCGCCTGAGCCATGCCGCCCGAGTCATGCCGCCCGAGCCATGCTGCCCGAGCCAGGTCCTGCTGGATCCTGCTGGTTGCAGTTGGTTCCTGCTGGTTTCAGCTGGTTCCTGCTGGTTTCAGCTGGTTCCTGCTGGTTTCAGCTGGTTCCTGCTGGTTTCAGCTGGTTCCTGCTGGTTTCAGCTTGTTCCTGCTTGTCACCGCCCACCGCTCACCACCCACCGCCCACAGCCCACTGCCCACCGCCCACCGCCTCCAAATTCCCCATCTACCTTCTGCCCTCCCAACGCCTTCCGAGCCTCGTCCCCATGTCTCCCCCCTCCCACCCACCCTATCCTGTTCCAATTTCCCCTTAGTCGTTCCCCCATCCTCGCATCCTCCCCATCAACCCCATTCCCCCCATCCCCGGCAGGCCTCTCCGCGATCCCCGCTGCTGTGTTGCGCCTCTCATCGCTCACCGACCTCTCCCTGGCGGGCAATCAGATCGCCTCCATCCCTTCAGAGATCGGCAATCTGTCCAAGGTGAGGGCTGCTGCTAGTATTGCTGCTACCGCACACAGGCACCACCATCGTTCCACCTCTCTCTCTCCGCCATCTGTCCCTTCTTTCGCCCCTTTCTCCCGTCGTCCACACCCCCCAACTCCGGCGCCTGGGCCTGGCTGGGACTGGCTGCAGCAGGTGCCGCCTGAGATTGGTAGGGCAGCTGAGAAACCTGGGCGGGCTGTGGCTGCAGCAGCTGCCACTCACACAACACACCCCCCTCTCCCTCCCCCCCCTTTTCACCGCCACACCCTCCAGCTTTGTCGCCTGGGCCTAGCAGGCAACCAGCTGCAGCAGCTACCACCAACTACTCACATCCCCCTCTCCCTCCTCCCCCCCTGTCACCTCCCCCCTCCCCCCCCCCAGCTCCGGCGGCTGGGCCTGGCGGGCAACCGGCTGCAGCAGCTGCCGCCTGAGATCGGGCAGCTGACAGATCTGGAGGGGCTGTGGCTGCACGGGAACCTGCTTCAAGAGCTCCCAAACGAGGTGCCTTATAGCGGGTACAGCACAGCACAGCAAAGAGTGTGAGCCCTGCAGTCGCCTCGCGTTGCGTTTTTCATCCAACAGTCAGTTTCAGAACATGAGTCATGAGACATCAGTCATGCGCAGTGTCCCTGCCATTGCCATAATATTCTCCTTCCGGCTCCTCGCTCTCTGCCTCCCGTTCCCCCCCTTCAGGCTTCACTTTGTCTCCTCCGCTGCCGCCTCCCTCCTCCCCTCCTCCCCTCCTCCCCTCCTTCCCTCCTCCCCTCCTCCCCTCCTCCCCTCCTCCCCTCCTCCCCTCCTTCCCTCCTCCCCTCCTCCCCTCCTCCCCTCCTCCCCTCCTCCCCTCCTCCCCTCCTCCCCTCCTCCCCTCCTCCCCTCCTCCCCTCCTCCCCTCCTCCCCTCCTCCCCTCCTCCCCTCCTCCCCTCCTCCCCTCCTCCCCTCCTCCCCTCCTCCCCTCCTCCCCTCCTCCCCTCCTCCCCTCCTCCCCTCCTCCCCTCCTCCCCTCCTCCCCTCCTCCCCTCCTCCCCTCCTCCCCTCCTCCCCTCCTCCCCTCCTCCCCTCCTCCCCTCCTCCCCTCCTCCCCTCCTCCCCTCCTCCCCTCCTTCCCTCCTCCCCTCCATTCCATGTTTTACTTTCTTCACTTCCCTCGCTTCCTCCAGATTGGTCGGCTCACAGCCCTGCGGTTTCTGGCTCTCGCTGGTAACCAGTTAACATGGTTACCAGAGACGGTGGGGAGGCTGAAGGCTCTGCAGGTGCTATCCGTTGCTGGTAACCAGCTTCAGGAGTTACCACAGAGTAAGAAGTATTCTTCAGTGTCGTCGCCCACAATATGCACTTTCGCTATGAGGCCCATTGGATTTGCCTCACATACATTTTACACGGGATACAATTTTTTTGTTCATTCTCCTCCCTTGAATTAGCTTTCCCTCCTCTCCCTCACCCCACAACCCCCCCCATCCTCCCCTCTCCCAGCTATAGGTTCTCTCACCTCCCTCCGGGTCTTGGCTGCCTACGGCAATCGCCTCACATCGCTCCCTCCCTCCATCACCCACCTCACCGCCCTACAGGAGCTCTTCCTTCAGGTCAGTGTGCTCAGGTGCACTCTCAGGTGCTCTCTCAGGTGTACTCTCAGGTGTACTCTCAGATGTGCGCCCAGGTATGCTTTCAGGTGCTTCGTCTGCCTTCAGGTGACCCTCCCCCCCTCTGTTGTCACTTCATATTCTGTCTCGATCCCTCTCTCCTTCCCTGCTCGCCTTCCCACCTCTCTCTACTTCTCCGCCTTTCGCGTCTCTCCCTTCTCCCCATGCCCAGGGCAACCGCATCTCCTCCCTTCCTCCCCTCGCCCTCTCCTCCCTGCGCCAACTGTCTCTCGCTGACAATTGCCTGTCAGCCATCCCACAAGGAACCCTTTCACAGCTGCCCTCCCTGGATTCTCTCTGGCTGTGAGTACCACTCCATACCATTCTCCACCGCTCTGCAGGCTCTCCCCTTTTGCCCTCTCCTCCCTCCACCAACTCTCGCTTGCCGAAAATCATCTGCCAGACATCCCATGTGGCGTGCTTGCTAGCACAGCTGCTGCCTCTGGAGTCACTCCGGCTGTGAGTATCAGTCTACACCGCTCTGTTTCCCTCTGCTTCGTGCCACTCTCTGCTGCTTCCCCCTGGTTTCGGTCATTCCAGCAACAGCTGCCTACGGCACATTTCGGCCGTTGTGTGATCCACCCTTGTTTGCAGCCCCTACTGCCTTTCCCATTATCTCTCTGTTCCCCATTCCCCATTCGCATTCCCATTCTCATTCCCCGTTCCCTTCCCCTTCCCCAACCCCTCCCCGCAGTTACGGCAACTCCATTTCTCACCTGCCGTCAGACTCTGCACAGTGCCCTCGCCTGGCAAACCTCTGGCTCGAGGTACACTCTGGGGTGTAGAGAATGTATGGAGTGTGTAGAGTGTGTGCTTGTATTGCTGTATCAGCTGCAGGCGACCATGCTATTTCGTAGTATTTGTCTCAACCTGACTAAGCCAACCCTTTTCCCCCCCATGCTCTCTTCCTACCCTTTCCTCTCAGGGCAATCCTCTCACTCTCTCCCACGCCTTCCTCTCTGACTCCTGTCACCATATCAAGACCGTGGGAATCGACTCTCTCCAGCTTCCACCACTCGAGCAGCCCCTTCCCAGCAACGTCCTCGTCAGTAGATTGGCCGGGACGGGGGCAGCAAGGCAAGACGGCGGTTATTTCAAGGTTAGCACAGTAGCAGCGTGTGCACCAGACACCATTCTAAAACTTTTTCTCTTTCTAATCTTCCCAACCATTAGACTTAGGCACTCTGTTGCTTTCTCCTGACCCCTCTGTTGTTTTCTCCTGCTCAGGTGCAGCCATGGCAGCGTGTGTCATCCCCATCAGAGGCAGAGGCCCACCGCTCAGGGGTGCTCGTTGTCGCATTCGGCAGCGCTCCAGCGGTGCCCAACTGGTGAGCTGGAATATTCTTCCCTCCCCAAGGAGGTTATTAATAGCCGTTATGATTTCTCCTTCATGGCCACAAGGTAGTGGGAGACATACATTTTGCACATCCGTGGGAGAAATCAGAAGCAGCCCTCTTGACTCTCATTGGCTGGTATGAATGAACTCCCTTGTCCCTCAGGGCAGGTTTGCTGCGCAAGGTGAAGGGAGACATGGCTCTCAGTAAAGCGGTGGGGGGAATCACCACCCCCTTTGACACTCTCTACGTCGTCGACTCCACTCGCTCCTGGTACACGCATGCTCCCCTCTCCACCGTCACACCGAAAGCAGCTGATTCTAACCTCCCCCCGCCTCCTCCGCCTACCCTCTCTCATGTCGGTGATTTGCCTCAAGCCCACTTTTCCCATCCGTCGGTCTCATCCACTCCAACCTCTTGGCCAATGGACGATCCCTCGCTACTTTCACAATCCCCGTTGTTGAGTAACACATTATCGGATTCAGTACAATGTGGTGCTGGGACTGGTGATTGTAGTGATGGGGGGTACTACCGGATGGAGATAGCAGCAGCAGTGGAGGGGTATGACCGTGTGGTCATGATTGGGGACTCCATGGGTGCCTCTGCTGCCCTTATGTTCTCGGAGTTTGCATCAAGTGTCCTCGCGTTCTGTCCACAGGTAAATCCAATTTCCACTGGCGCTCTGCCTGCAGCCTCATTACGTTTCCATGTCGTGAACCGATTTAACTCTTCTAAGTTACATCTGATCTTTATTTTCAGGTGGATCTTATCTCAGCCAGTATACGGCCTGGTCGTGACCCCGCATGGCTCAGGTCCTTCACACAGAACCTCCTCTCCTCCTTGGAATCATGCTTTACAACTGAGACAATATCAAACTCCAGTTCTTCCCAACTGCCTACACACGTTCATGTTCACTGTGGGAATTGGTCTCATGATGTTGCACAGGCTCGACTGGTTGAGCATCTGCCCCAGGTGAGATAATGAATCAGGATGCATACTTTCAGGTAGTGCTTCGACTTCTGTCAGCAAGCTGTTGAGAGCATTGCGGCTGACCAGGCTGTTTGCTGTAAGGACGCCAATGTTGTTATCTGTTTTTTATATGGCAGGTTGAAGTGACTGTTCACCCTGTTGACAGCCACCGCCTTGCGAAGGACCTGGACTCGAATGGGAGATTAGTGCCACTGGTCAAAGCAGCATTGAGATAATGCACTAGTACCGGTATGTTCCAAGCCTGCTCATGTCCCTTTACACAAATAGTGCTGTATAACACGCATTTTCCATGCTATGTTTCTCGCTTTTGCCATCACCCACTGCTACAGCACTGACGCACTACCTCAGCTGCATGTCAAATGAGTACTCTTGAATGACTTTCTTGCACTGCTCCATGTCAACGTCTCCAAGGTCCAGCCCATCTCGCGCTTCCTTCTTCAGCTGCTGCAGTGTCTCCTGTGCAAATTCTCGACCCACCAGGACATACTCTTCCTCTGCTCCAATTTCCACCAAAATGTTGCTCGGCTCAGCATCATTGTCAGTTGCCACTTGGGTGGTGCTGTCTTCAGGAATTGCCAAAAGAGCCAACATGGACTCTATATTCTCCGTGCCTTCAGTTCCTGGAACTGGCAGCCTGGGCTCGAGCATGCTTGCAGGTGGGATATCCATTTTGCCTGCATCAACAACCGTTAGCACCTGGGAAGAGCTGCAATGCCATTGTGATGGCTCAACCTCTTCGTGAACAGGGACAAGTAGTCTCCCTGCAAGCCCATTTTGAATTTCCTTGGATGGAGATGTTGGCAATTTGGCCCCCCGTGATGGCTTTATGTTGAAAGGCAAGACAAGCTTTCTCCTTAATAGTGGTTCAGAGTCCTGTTGAAGAGGAGCAGTTCCAACAGAAACGGATTCACTGGCAGCCAGGCTCTTTCCATTTATCAGTGGCGTATTGACTGGAGTAGGGCCACATGCAGATGAAGAACCTTGTGTAATCAAAAGCATTGAAGATGGGTTGTTGTGTGTCAAACCACAAGCTGGCTGTAATTCCTGAACTGGGGTGCTGCTGCTGACCACTGGAATGTTGAACTGAGTAGGTGCAGTGATAAATGGAGGGACATGTGGTTGCACGTCAGCTGAAGGTGTAAGTTGATCGGTTCCGCAAAAGTTATGCAGGTCATTCTCAGCACTATCTAGGACCTTGGTTGGACTGCTTTGGCCCAGACCCAGAGCTCCTGCAGATCACGGTGGAAATTTAGAAAGCTGAAAGTTTCCTCGTGAAATTGCAAGCATTACCTTCCACGACCCAGTCCTTGTTGAAGACCTCCAGGTCCGAGAATCGACTTATAGTAGTTCTTCCACTTCCTCGCAGATGCAGAGTTGGCGTCTCTCGCTTGCTGCTTGGCTCATTGGATAAGCGAAGTTCTGTAGAGATGCATGAGAGCCTCAGCTCATGATTGCTGGCTCGGTTGTTATAAACCTTCTCTGCAATGATTCCGCATCCACCTGACTCCGTGTACCGCACACAAGGAGGCGTTGCCTTCGAGGATCTGCACGTATGGAGGTCATTGCTGTTCCTGTCTTTGAGCACACAACTCGGCAACAGCTCCTGGTGTGAATTTCTGTCCCAATCGGCAAGAAGTGCTTGGAGCTGAGAGTCTCGGGGCGAATGAAGGCTTGAATTGTTGCTAAACCGTATGTCAGGAACTTGATCAGCTTCTGATACGTGTGGACGTTGATTCCCTGCATCCAATGCAGCAGGCGGTGCCAGGCACTCTCCATTCCCAAAGACAGGTTCTTCGGAAGCGTCGGGATATACAGCACCTGAGATGATGTTGTTACTAGCATTGGCCAGCAGAGGATTCACACCTGGAATAATCAGTTTGTCAATGTGAGAAATTGATTTACATGGTTACCTCGTGGTGAGTGCGCAGAAAATATCGAGTCCACGAAGGTCCGGTCGTCAGAGGAAGTTTCTTGGTCCGCGTGAAGCATTCTGAGGGATGATTCAGTAAATACTCTTTTCGGATTTAGTTCCGTTTCACTACGCAGCCCAGAGGAGCGCCTCCGCTTCGGTGATTCAAAGCTGGAAGCGTCGGATTTCGCCCCTCTCGGAGAGACAGATTGAGGCATTGCCAGCCGAAGCTGACCGAGATGCTCAGTGACTGAACAAGCACGACTTGGGGCCTCATTTCGTGATACTGAGCTCGGCAGCACGCCTCCGACTAACTGGAGAAAAGCACCATGGCGTGCTAAGCCTGAGTTTAATTCTTTGCTGGTCGAGTCTTTGATAGGAGAGCTTACGCATGATTTCCTCAGAAGCGCACTGGTTGAAAAAGTTCTTCCTAACTTAGGGAGGTCAGACGACGCCATAACAGTGTCTATGGTTCAACCTGTGAGACTCATCACTCGAATCTGTGTTTACTGGTTTATTTGAATCTCGGGTTTGGCTGGTTTGCCTCACCAGCAGCACTGCATGGAAAGGAGGCTCCACCCTGCGCGGGGTGGGCCCTCCGCTCTTATCGGGAATTGTGGAGTTCCCTGGGGGTCAGGCATAGGATGTGAGTGGGATGTGTGAGCCAACGGATTGTGCTCATACGAAAAATGGGTTCGATAATAAAAGTTCATATAAACATCGGGTTTTGTGGTTGAGACCGGAAATAATGTATCCACACGATGAGAAGACAAGGCAGAAAACGTAAAATCAAGGCTCCAGCCTTTGAGGCTCAGGGCAAAAGCTCCAAACCAGATTCCAAACCAGAAGTCACCATCACGCCTGCGAGACAAACTACCCAAGCCTAGAGCAAAACCAGACCAGGCTGACCCAAACCAGAACATCCAGCAAGCAAGCGGGTCATATAGCCACGTCACGAGATTAAATCCGAACGTGAATGGTCACCGCCCTGAGGGGATGTCGCCAGCCACACAACATCCCCTCATTGAGCAGTTTCCACAAGTCGTGCTACAGTACTTTCGCCAACCGGGTGAGCTTTGCCGAGTCCCAGCAAGATTTTTCGGCAAAAAACTTCGCACAAGCAATGCCTTCGCCCAAACATCTGCATCCCTTTGCTAGGGTCTGACAGAATTCAGAGGTTCCTCCCAAGATACTCAGAGAGAGCAGGTATATCCATCCACCCAAACCCTCATCCAGGCGAATTTTCTTCTAACGGTTGGGGGAGGTTCTCTTCTATTGGTGAACCTACTGACTTGAACATCTAACGAGCCGCTTCGGCCCGTTTTAGATTGACAATGTGCCTTTCCCGCCTGGCGATAACCTTTGCTCAATCAATCTGAACCCTATGTTAGTTTCGTTTGAAAGTAATCCGACGATTCTAGCTCCCTCAGTTCCCCTTTTCAGTCCCAACGGCCATCCCTCCACACCAAACCTCGTTTTCCGAATCTTTTTGCTTCGGAGCCGCGCAAATTTTACTCCAAAAGGCACGATTCGGCTTTTTTTGTTGTAGCCGCCGACCGAACCGCGAGAGTGTTGAACCACACATTTCAACTGCCCCCTACTCCGTTGGGATTTGGCTGTGGGAATGCCCGGGATGGACATTCCAAGCAGGCATTTGTTGGGGCGACATTCCAACCAGACATTTCCCAAGAGCGACATTCCAACCAGCGTTTTCCCCGAGCGACATTTTGACCTCATAATTTCAGCCGAGGCATTCGCACATTCATTTCAACATTGCGTTCGTTCGTTCGTCTCCAGCTCAACTGTCCTTTTAGCACATTCGCACCTCGACCGAGCTGCCTTTCCAGCGCCTTTGCGGCCGTTATCAGCGGCCAACCTAACGTGCATCACGAACATCAGTTCGCATGCTCATAGTACTCGGTCGCTGCTGGCGATATGAAGCCTCGAACCACTACAACGTGCTGCACCACAGGTATTTTCGCATATGTTTCGGATTTTATGTTTTTCAATACTTCGTGGACGTTTCTGACGCTGCCTGTTTTTCTCCTTCGCAGTCACGTGACATCGTCCGCAATCCACCGTCAGCCGTTGCTGATCATCTCAAGGAAGCATTATGGAGAAATTTACAGTACACAACGACGATGTAAGTTTCCAATCTGTTTCAACATTCGTGCAAGTTTCTGACTCTTTAATTTATGCGCTCATTTTTTGCAGGCAACGTCACATCCGCTATCCGCTGTCAACTCCAGTCGTGGCTGGACATGTCCCATCGTCAAGGCCGTCCGCTCCAATTACTACGGTTTGAAGGGCACGAACCAGCGCAGCTCGAAGAATTCTAGGTACGCTTCTAAACTCCGACTTTGCTTTCAGCGATTTTAGAATTTCTGATTTTTTTTTTAGCACGATTTTCCTTGTTCATGTATTCTCAGGTGCGTCAGCATCCTGACGAGCACTGACGACAACGAGGTCAATTCTGGGAGGCGCCAGGCAGCTCGCACACCCGCGACAGCATGCATGGCGCTCAGCATGCACAGCAACCAAGAGTCACATTTCCCTTGCTGCGGCGTTCAACAATTTGGCCTCAAGCGCCGTTTCCGAAGCTAAGTGCATCCCTGGCCCCATATCCTTACACGCTATTTGACTTCGCTTTGCCGGTACACCATTGACTCCATGCACCCACCCCTTCAATTGCTCATTTCCACCCCCTCCCGCTCCCCCTCCCCCCCGGAAGCCCATGGCGCACGGCGCTTTGATCCGCTTGCATAGAGCAAAGTCACTAGCGGGTTACGTTATGTTAGACTTTCATAGTGTCGCTGCGTGCACGCGTCAAGTCTCCTCCTCCTCGCTGTCTCCCCTCGCTGCCGCTCGATCGTGCATGTGCGCCATGGGCGACCCCTCCCCCCCTTCCCCCCGTCCCCCAGGTGCTGGGCCTGCTCCAGGGGACGCACGAGGTGCTGGCGCTGCTCTGAACGTCTCTGCTGGGACTCCCTGTCCTCACTTTGTTATCTCCGCCCCTCTCTCCGTTACAGGTCACTCGACCTCTGATTGCAAGGAGCAGTGGGAGGCGGAGGCGGGGTAGCAACCAAGTGCGTGGAGGTGCTTCAGCGTCCTCATGCGTCAAGCACCTGGCGGCAGCAGAAAGCACCTCATGCTGCCTCAGCCGTCTTCATCGCACACTCACGTCATCAGCTAAGTGGTCGTTCCTCAATGCACCCACCTTTGCATCGCCTTGGTTTCTCGCCATTATTCCATTTTTTTCTCACAAAACGGTGCTGCTGGTGGATGCACAGTGCACAATTCACAGACCCCCCTTACTGCTGGTTAAGCCCCCCCCAGGTTAAGCCTTCAGGTGGACCCCCCTTACTGCAGGTACTTAACAGCCCGTGGGTCTGTGGCTTGAACCTGTGCCTCCACCGGTGGCCCTCCTTCCGCTCGCCCTCCATCTCGCCACGCGTACAGCCATTCCCTTCCACGGTGGCGTTTCTATCCCACTCACTTGCACCTCTTCTCCTCCCTCCTCCTCCCCACATCCCCCCCCCCCCACTTGCAGGAGTTCTAGTGTTGTGCCCCTGAGGCGGTATGCCTTCCGCCCTTCCACATGCCACCCACCTGCTCCATGCCTGCCCTTCCAACGCCACCGCTCCTGCCTGCGTTCATCTGCAGCAAACCAACCCAGTAAGTCCTTCTCACTCCCTGGATCCAGCCTTGCAATTTTCTGTGCCAATGTTGCTCGTTTCGATTTTCCTTCAATTTGCATGTGCTTTCACACCCTTCCCATAAAAATCAATGCGTTGGAGCCAGCTCACATGCCACAGACCGCCTTACTTCAGGTACCCCCCTCAGGTGCAGGTACACCCCTCCCTCAGGTTCAGCCTCCAGGTGCAGGTCCCCTTGGGGTTTGTGGCGTGTGGCCGTGGCTCCACCAGTGGCCCCTCCCTTCGTTTTCCAGCGTTGGCGCTTTTCAGTCCGTGGCTTGCCCTTGCTGCCATGCCATGCACACTGACCAGCGCCGTGTGTGTGCACTGCAGGTGGTGGGGAGGGGCGTGGGGTCAACACCGACATTCCCTCGCGCTCCTCCCCTGTGGCTGTGCAGGGCGGCGCATGGGAGGGCCGGGAGGATTTCTGCCATGAGGGAGAGTGTCTGGGGAGGTTTGGCTCTTGAAGGTAAGCCCATTCCAGCTCACTTGCGTGAACCATTCCTGCTCATTCAGTCTGCTTCACTTTTATCACGCCTTAGCTGTCTGGTTGTTGGCGTCGCTAGCATTGACACTCACTCTCTTGTAGCCACTTCTCTTTACTCTCTGCCCCCTCCCTCCCTCCCCTCACCCTTTTTCTGCAGGTCACTTGGCAGCAAGCGCTGACAGCAAGCACTGGCAGAAAGCAACGGGTGCAAGGGAGAGTATCTGGGGTGGGCTCGGCTGCACTAGGTGAGCCCCTTACCTACCTGCTGCTCCTCTTGGCGTTTTCTGGTCTTTGGCTGCATCTTGTTTCTTTTCCTGCAACCACTTCTGTCTTCATTCCCCGCCCTCCTCCTCCTCCTCCTCCTCCTCCTCCTCCTCCTCCTCCTCCTCCTCCTCCTCCTCCTCCTCCTCCTCCTCCTCCTCCTCCTCCTCCTCCTCCTCCTCCTCCTCCTCCTCCTCCTCCTCCTCCTCCTCCTCCTCCTCCTCCTTCCCCCTCTTCCCCTGTGCACTGCAGGTACCCATGCTGCGGGGGTGGATGGACGGCAGTGGCGCAGTCTGCTGCAAGGGAGAGATCTGGGGTGGGCTCGGCATTCAAGGTAAGCCCTACACCTCCCTGCTGCAATTCCTGCTCCTTCGCTTTCTGGTTCTGTCTTAGTTTGCGCTCCCTTCCTTCCACTCACTTCTCTCCTCTCCCGTCCTCCTCACCACCCACACCTCCTCCCTCCCTCCTGGCAGGTCACTTGGCAGCAGCAAGGACTGCAGCCCAGCCACAGCTTAGCAGCACTGGTGCAGCAGCTGCTGCAGCTGCAGCAGCAATGCACTTTGCTGCAAGGGAGCGTATATTGGGTGGACTCAGCTCTTAAAAGGTAAGTTCCTTTACTTCTGCTGCATACATACTCGTTTCCTTTCTGGTGTTGTCTCAGTCATTGCTCCCTTCCATGCACTCACTTCTTTTTTTCTCCCTTCCTCCTCACCACTCCCCACCCCACCCCTCCCCCCTCCTGGCAGACCACTTGGCAGCAGGGACTGAAGGCAGACTGTAGCTGAGCAGAAGTGGTGCAGCTGCAGCAGCAATGCACTTTGCTGCAAGGGAGAGCATCTAGGGTGGAAGCAGCTCCTAAAAGGTAAGCTCCTTTCCTTCTGCTGCATTACCCACTCGTTTCCTTTCTGGTGTTGTCTCAGTCATTGCTCCCTTCCCTGCACTCAAATTTTTCTTCTCCCTTCCTCCTCACCACCACCCACCCCCCCACTCCCCCCTCCTGACAGGTCACATGGCAGCAGCAAGCAAGCCTGCAGCAGAGCCTGTAGCTGAGCAGCAGTGGTGAAGCAGCAGCAGCAGATACAGGGCTGCAGGGCAGCAGCGTAGGCGCGGGCAGTTAGGGGGCGGGCTAGGGCGTTAGTTGTGAGCGAGGTACAGGTATGGTACGGTACTGGTACAGGTATGGTACGGTACTGGTACAGGTATGGTACGGTACTGGTACAGGTATGGTACGGTACTGGTACAGGTATGGTACGGTACTGGTACAGGTATGGTACGGTACTGGTACAGGTATGGCATGGAGTGATATGGAATGGTATGGTTGAATCACATTCCCCTCCTCTTTCTCCTCCCTGCCTCCTTCACCTGCTTCCCCTTGGTGCACTGGAGCAAGATGAGGACCAGATGACGAGAAGAGGAGAGTTTCTCACACCCCCCTGCTCTTTCTCCCCAGCAGCCCCCCACCCCTCCACCTTGGCGCACTGGAGCAAGAAGGTAGCAAAGGAGAGTCTCGCACAACTCCCCCTCCTTCTCCCCCCAGCAGGCCCCAAACCCCCCTTGGTGCACTGGAGCAAGAAGGGAGCAGAGGAGAGTCGCTCACACCCCCCACCCCCCCCCCCTTTCCCCCAGCACCAGCACTCCACTGCAGTCATCACTTGGCTCTGCATGGCGGTGGTAAGTGAGGTAAGCTGAAGGCGGTGAGGGAGGGGATGGAGGTGGGTGGGGCAGGGTGGGGGATGGCATGCGGTGCAGGCTTCTGGGGGCAGCACCTTCAGTACTATAAGCAATGGGGGTCGGGTGAGGCAGTGCAAGTACACGTGTCAAGCACTCTGTGTCCAATCACAATACCCGCGCGTTAATGCATAATGGGCCCATGGCAGAACCATTGCGGCCGAATGGTTCTGTCTCGCGCCAGCTCTTGCCACGCCGGTGAGGGGTAATTGAATCTTGGGCTTACCATGTACTTGCCTCCTGCCTCACTTGGCACCCGCAATGGGTACTGCCGGTGCTGCTCCTAAGGGGTTTGTGCTGCATGTCTCTCCTGCTGCTGTTGGTTGAGCAGAGGGGATGGTGGGGGAGACGAGGTGAGTGTGCTGGTGGTGATGGTGGTGCTGTGAGGTGGCGGTGGTGGTGCTGTGAAGTGGTGGTGGTGGTGGTGGTGGTGCTGTGAAGTGGTGGTGGTGCTGCTGTGAAGTGGTGGTGGTGGTGCTGGTGCTGCTGTGAAGTGGTGGTGGTGGTGGTGGTGGTGGTGCTGTGAAGTGGTGGTGGTGGTGGTGGTGCTGTGAAGTGGTGGTGCTGGTGCTGTGAAGTGGTGGTGCTGGTGCTGCTGCTGCTGGTGGTGGTAGTGTTGGTGGTGGTGCTGGTGGTGCTGGTGCTGGAGGGAAGTGGTGGTGGTGGTGAAGGTGGGGAGTTGTGGTGGTGGTGTGATGTGGCAGAGTGAGGGCGACAGCCCCCTGGGTTAGGTGAAACCTAGGCAGGGGAAGGGGGTTGGAGTGCCCTGGGTAACGCAAGTGAGGGGCAGGGGGGGGGGGAGAGGGGGGCTGAAACCCCCAGGTTTAGGCGAGCATGCGGCAGAGGAACCCCCCTCCTCTGCCTTATGCTCGCCTTAAGCTGGGGGTGTCAACCCCCCTCCCTTGCCTCTCTGTTGCCTTGCTCTGGTGCCTTCAACCTTGTTCCCCTGCCTGGGTCTCAGCTTACCTAGGGGGTTGTCACAATCCCTTTGCCTCACCCCACCACCACCACAACTTACCACCTTCAATGCCCACCACCACTTCTGTCCAGCTCCACTGCCACAAGCACCATCCCCAGTTCCTACCATCACCACCACCATCACCACTTCTCACTGGTGATGATGGTGGTGGTGTGGTGCCACAGTGTTTCATCATCACATGGAGTATCATCGACCCATAAATTAACATCATCATCCCATGGTGTATCATCGACCCATAAATTAACATCATCATCCCATGGTGTATCATCGACCCGTAAATTAACATCATCATCCCATGGTGTATCATCGACCCGTAAATTAACATCATCATCCCATGGAGTATCATCGACCCATAAATTAACATCATCATCCCATGGTGTATCATTCCATGGTGTATCATCATCCCATGGTGTATCATCACCCTATGGTGTATCATTATCCCATGACCTATCATCCATGGTGTACCATCCCATGGTATGGCCATGTGACTTGAGGGGTGATTAAGCCTAGAACCCAGCCAAGGGGGTGGGGGGTGGTGGTGGCTCGTGATGGTGACCATGTCTTGTGGGCTGCACGCCTCTTGCAGCGTGCAGCCCAACCATGTGTGCAGACATGATGGATTAATGCCTCCACACATGGTGCTGGTGGGATGAGCATGGTGCTGGTGGGATGAGCATGGTGCTGGTGGGATGAGCATGGTGCTGGTGGGATGAGCATGGTGCTGGTGGGATGAGCATGGTGCTGGTGGGTTGAGCATGGTGCTGGTGGGATGAGCATGGTGCTGGTGAGATGAGCATGGTGCTGGTGGGATGAGAGCATGGTGCTGGTGGGATGAGCATGGTGCTGGTGGCTTGAGCATGGTGCTGGTGGGATGAGCATGGTGCTGGTGGGATGAGCATGGTGCTGGTGGGATGAGCATGGTGCTGGTGGGATGAGAGCATGGTGCGGAAGGATTGAGCATGGGTGTGCTATGGCCCTCCTGCTTCTTCCAGCAGAACCATCTGCATGGGCATGGATGATGGATGGCTCTGATGTGGCCAATGTGCCTCACGGCCTGGGCCAGGACATGGTAACCTGTAACAGGCCATAGAATGTGGTGTGGTAGATCATAAGTAGTTAGTGTAGGGTGAGTTTGTTTTCTGGTGCTACTATATACACAAATGTAAGCATGTTGTAGCAATAAAAACTTTTTTTGTACTGTACAAAAGTAGAATGTTTATTGCCCAAACATATTCTGCCTTCAACTATTTTTATGGCCACTGTACGATTATCGAATTATCATACTGTGGCTTTAAATTTTACACAACGCTTTCGTGTCTGCACATTTAGTGATCCTGCTTTAGTGTCTCGAAAGAATTTTCACTAACCAGTACTTTCCTCCAATATTTCTGATATGAAATGATAACAGCCTATTTATTCAACGATGCATCTTAGTCCAATAATGCTGCTACAGAGTTCGAAGCTGAAAGCCTAGGAGCAACCAGTGACAGCAATAACTACAGCAGCTGCAGCAGCAGCACCTGCAGCCAAAGGTGCATGCAGCAAGCCCGGCACAGGCCCTGCGCAGCACTAAACACATGCGACTACCCTAAGACTTCCACTCTCCTGTAACGGATGCCACTAACTCTTGTCTCTGCCTTCAGAGAAACAGCCAGCCCACGTTGGCTGGGCTTAGGCAGCAGCAGGCGGGGGGTTGGTGTTGTCAGCCTCGGAGACTGGCACGTACTTGCCCTCGATGAAGCCCTTGTCGTTAATGGAGCTCACAAACTTGAGCTCAACCTGCAATTAGGAGTGGAAAGGGGTAGACAGATGAGGGAAGGATGCATCAGCCACGGAAGCAGCATGCAACAGGAGTGAGGAATGCATCAGAACCGCCGGCAGCACCATCCACTGTTTTCTCACCCTGCCCATGCCAGAAACCCCGAGTCCAAAACCCCAAGCCCCCCTACACCAAACCCCCAAAAACCCCAAGCCCTCACCTCCTCGGGCTTGTTCTCCTCCGCCTCGGCCTTCTTCTCCTGAAGCTCCTCCGCCGCCAGCGGGGTGAACTGCGCGTCCAGGGAGCGCGCGGCCGCCAGCCACGCCACCACAATGCCCAGCAGAATCACCCCCAGGTACGGGGTGGAGTTGGCGAGCGAGCCAAACGCGAAGATGAGGAACTGCTGGATCAGAGCGCCGCCGGACTTGCCCAGGGGGTTGCACACCACGTCGATGGCCGCCTTGCCCTTCACCTTGGTCTCCTCGTCCAGGGGGATGTAGGCCATCTCCTTGCAGGGGTCGAAGAGAGAGTACTTAGCGCTCTTGCTGAAGATGTTCTGCGCCGCGCCCACGTAGACGGCGGCCAGGAGGGGCGTCATGCCGATGCTGGCGAGCGCGGGGGTGAGCGGCCCGCCGCACAGCACGAGGCCGAAGAAGGCAATGCCCGTGAGGAGGAGCACGGTGGGCGTGATGAGGGCGGCGGTGCCCCAGCCGTACTTGCGGAAGATGACGCGCGAGAGCAGCATCATGGCGAAGGTCACGATGCCCGTCATCGACGAGAAGTCGCCCATGAACGCCGAGTAGTCGTTGGGGTTCGGGAACTGCAGGGAGACATGGGAGCGGGGTTTGAGGATTAAGCAGGGTTGGAAGGTAAGAAGTGCAGAATGGGACGGACAGTGAGAACGCTATTTCTGAGGCGCCTCAAAACCATGCGTGAGGAGTCTATTTTTGAGGCGCCTCAAAAATGGAAGGTGAGAAGTTCAGAATGGGACGGACAGTGAGAACAGGGCAGCAGCTAACGCTAAGAGAAAGCACGATGACTCTTGAGTCGACTCAACAGTCTCCCAGGAGCGGCAGCTGAATTCGCTGCAGAAGCCAACACTTCCCGATTAACGAGACTGGAGATCTAAACTCAAGCCGTGAGCACTTCCAGGTGCCTCTTATCAAGGTTGATTGACATGCTGTATGACTCAGCACAAGTCAACGCGAGTCGACGCTCACCTGGGCCTTGATCTTGCTCTTCCAGGTGACCTCGACGAGGTTGATAGAGATGCCGTACGCCACGACGAGCGTCGCGAGGTCGCGCACGTAGCGCGAGCTGAGCAGGAACTTGAGCGACTCGCCCATGCTCATCTTGGGCTTCGACTTCTGTTGCACGCAGTATCGGGCACAACGGAAGACGAGACGTGAAAAAGGAGGGGTGAGCATGTGAGAAAGAGTAGGAAGGGGAGAAAGTGGACTACAGAGACCAAAAGAACGACCGAACTGAGATTAGATCAATCAATAAACGCGGAAAAAAAACACAGATCGCGTCATTAACCTACACAATGTCTCGATTTTCCCCATCCCCTTCAGAGCCAGCCCATCTCTCACTCTCCCGATTCCCCCGAGCCGTACCTTCTTCTTGCCGGCGCCCTTGGGTAGGCTGGGATCGTTGACGACATTACGGTCGACCCACCAGTACACGCCACAGATGACGAGGCCGAACGCCACCACGATGGACATCATGCCCTGCAGCGACATGCCCCACCCGTCCACGCCGGGCGGCAGCTGCCCGCGCAGCTCCGAGAAGTACTTCACGGTGCGGCCCGAGAAGATGAGCGCCACGTTCGCGCCGAGCCCGAAGAGCGGGTAGAACTGCTTCGCCTCGTCTACAGTGCAGATCTGCAATGTTACATTGAAATCAGATGAAGAAACCGTTATATTTGTGTTTGACGCAATACCAAGCCTGGATCAAGGAGCAGTAAACGATGTTCCATGTGGCCGATCCTTCGTAATTGTGGATCCAACGACAAAATGTAAGTAAAAAAAACATGAAATTAAGAAGGAAACAAAAAAACAAAATTCGGAAAAAAAAAAAATTCTAACCTGATTGGCGAAGCCCCAGAAGAGCACGGAGACGACGACGCTGCCCCAGAGCTCGGCCATGACGTAGAAGAGGCAGAAGGACCAGTTGCGCAGAATGGAGATGGGTCCCATGAAGCGCGGACCCATCACGGACAGCAGGTGCTCCGCGAACGCCGTCGGGTGCAGCACGTGGCGCAGCGGGTAGATCACGAACGCGAAGCTTCCGAAAAAGGCGAGGAAGGGGATGATGCACGTGTAGAAGAGCGCCTGCTTGCTCAGCACGTTCGCCAGCTGCCCGTACAGCAGCATGAACCCGATCGCCATGGGCAGGTTCACCCATGTCTTCAAGAAGGGGATGATCTCCGCGCCGCTTCCCGGCGCCGTGACGACGAGCACGTCCTTGGTGTCGCGAAGGATGGTGTAGTTAAAGAGGATGCAGAAGAAGATGATGCCGAGGGGAACAATCTTCTTCAATGTGATCACCTCCACACCAAGAAACTTCGCAGGTGCCTTCGCGACTGCTCCGGCGGGCTCGCTGGAGTCTGCGGCGGCTGCGGCGGCGTTTGCGCGGACGGAGATTGATCGGCGGGTGAGGTGCTTCCGCCTCGGGGTCTCCGCGACGAGGGGTGCCACGTCAGCCTTGAGGCTGCTGGCGGAAAGCGCGCGCTCCTGTGCATGGCGCCGAGACGAGGCCTTGGCGGACGAGGCGATCGGGGCGAAATGGGCGGAAGTCGATGAAAGGGTTACCCGCTTTTTGCAACTCGCAGCGGCGAGGCCTGCGGCGGGAGCCGTCAGGCCAATGCTGGCCACAGCCTCCATGGTGGCACGGCGTGGCTAACCAGATCTGGGTCAATAAGGGATGCTCACAGGACGTAGAAGGGTAGGGATCCCAGGAAACAACAAAAACATAAAAGCAAATGCAAATACCGACGAGGAACCCTGAGACTTCTATTTAGAAATCTGATGGCTGCTGCGCTGAAGGGCCAAAAATCTGAGAAGCAAGAAATCTGAATGGGCTGGTAAGTACATGGGCTCTTGGCGCCACCAAGGCAGGTTTGGGTGATCCGAACCTACGCAGGAGGTTTGGCTAGGCAAGGGGAGGAGATTGAGGGGAGACGTGGTTGGGGGGAGGCAGCGAGGCGCCCTGCTCTGCCAGAGGGGAATTGTTTGCGTGTGGGATGGAACCAGGGATCGAAATTTCGATATTCCACGTAATGAACCAATCAGGTGGTGATTAGGCTCGGAATCTGAGCTGGAAGTTTGGCGTGGCTGTGCCTAGTTCCCAAACCACGAGTTCCTTGCCCGTGGGAGCTGCGGAAAAGCCCAGGAAATGGGGTCAGGGCCAGATTGGCTTACGCTGGAGGTTCGGCACGAATCAACGAGTCCTGACTTGACACGAGGTAAAGCTCCAGGAAATGGCAAGTGGCGCCGCCTTGGCTGCTGCGTTGGACAATTGGTGGGCCAGAAGTGGGAATTCGCACAGTAGGCGGACGTGGAGTCCACGCTGTAAAGGCCAGAAAAGCACTACAACTCAGCGAAGGCATTTTCGATGCTGACTTGCAGATCCCCACGATCTGAAATGTCGCGTCATCACATTGGCTGGGCGCTTTCAGGCTGAGTCGATTGTAGCCCCTTTATCCGACACGTGTTTTGTCCGATAAAGCGATAGGGGGACCACTTTATTCGACACATTGTTCAGAATGCATCGTATGTATATTTCTACATCTGCTCGACGTATTATTATTCGATGCCACGAGCTGTTCTATAACGAATATACCGCCTTCATTGTTGACACGTCATGTTGTGACATATCCTCGTGGCATGACCAGCCTCACGAGCACAAATTGGCTCCTCCGAACATTGTTGGGTTACCCGAAAATCGACGGCTCAGAGCACACGAAAAGCATCGATGGATAAGAGCTCTGAAGAATCACAGAATCAGCCTGGAGTTTTCTAGGTCCTAGATTAGCCTTTCAGACCCGGTCTGTGACCAGCCTTCAGTCTTCTCACAGCACTCTCCCGCTTTCACCTTTCTGTAGCTGATAGTATGTCAAGTGCCGCGCGCGTAGCTGGTTTTGAAGATAAGATGTGAGATAACCAGTCAGCGGTGAGTCGGCATGGCGTCGAGCGTTCCACGAGCAGATCAGATTCCATCAGGCGGCATCCAACCCGAGCCCGCTCCTGTACATAGCAGCAGTACGACGGCGATTTATTCGCAAGGCAGGCACGCGACGCTGTATCCCCGGCTTTTAGCTCGAGAACCGGTACTAGTGACCGGGTATGCGTCTCCTATCTCGGGCTCGTTTACTCTCGGCAATAGAGTCAGGCGGCTGTCTACCAGTCAGACCCCTCTCAACTGGACAGCTGGTATCGCGCCGCTTATAAGAACCGGTTTAGGCTTACAGATGCCGCGTCAGCAATCAATAGGAAGGCTAGAGGCTACAAGGCCAAGAGTGCTGACATGTAAAGGTCACTCCGGACTAGATTCAGCTGCTGCTTGTAGCCGATCCGAATCTGCCTTTCGCGGATCCGCCAGTTCTGAAACACCTGCTCACGGCACGGTGTTTCATAGTTCTTTCAGTCTGCGTGATTCGCTTCTCAGACGGACGGCTTTTCAACAGAAAAATCTTTGCGATATCAGAGGCACAAGCATCAGGGGATCCAGGAACTTCAGCAGGAGCATCAGCAGCAACAGCGGCAGTGGTGTCAACTCCAGTATAGGGAGGAGCGGTAGCGGAAGCAGCAGTAGCTGGTCGGTATCCGACAACTTAAAGATCTCTAAACGACGGCCTGGATCTTATTCCATGCTGCTGACGGCAGCAGCTGCTACAGTGATTCTAGCGTCTGCGCTTTCAGGACACCCAGAGCAGGGACACTTTCCTGGCTCTTCCTCCGTTCCTGAACATTCGTCAGAGAAAGGGCTGTCGCTTCCTGTCCCCGATTCAGTCAGATCCGTTACCACTAGGGCAATTCACTCTGCCAAGAATTTCAGAGACCATGTGGTGCGTAACGCCTCTCAATCAGCTTCTGCAGCTGCCGAAGCTGCTGCACAGGCTCGGGACGTTGCCGTGGCAACTGCAGCTCTGGCTCGGTGCCTAGCTGCCATCCTCTCCTCCGACTCGCTTCCAGACCTAAATGTGTGGGAGCTGCGTGATTATAACGAATGGCGGAATTCACATGATCTGAGGCGATACAGACCAGCTCCCCTGCCTTCTCCCCTCCCACCTTCTCCTGACAGTACTCCCTGGGTTGCCCGCGTGGCAAGGACGATTGCTGACCTGGCAGCGGCAGGTGGGAGTTCCAGCAGGGCAGCAATTGCTGACGCAAGCAGAGGGAAGGTGCTTGATTGGCTGCTAGAAGAGCTCGTGAACAGTGATCCTCGAGTGAGGAGGGAAGCAGCACGGGCAGTCGCCAGCCTGTTGAGAGATGTTGACGTGGCACCGAGGGTGCTGAATAGAGATGGCAGCATCCGGCAGATTCTGACGTGGATAGCACAGCTGGATTCGGCTGCAAATGTGGAGGCAGGGAGAAGCGCAAATGTTAGCCCTGGTGCTGCAGGTGCGGAGCGTGCAGGTGACCACTCAGGTGCTGGCACCAGTGCGTCAGGTGGTGATGATAGCTTATCACCCCCTGCGCTTAAGGCGTCCTCTCTCCGCTTGTCAAGTGCTCGCCTGCGCCACCATCCCCTCGTGGACGCGCTTATGGACCTCCTTACCGAACCTTCCCCGCTGAAACAAGATTCGATACAGTCACGCCACCCAGCTTCACTGCTCAGGCCCGTCATTCGACCGCTAGGGGGGCCGGACCTGGCTGAACGGGCAGCTGACGTGGATGTGAGGGCTGCCCTGGATGTTCTTATATGGGGAGAGCCTGTAGAGAGGGAGGAGAGCAGCACGTGGTGGTCACGGAGAGGGGGAAGGGGAAGGGAAGGGGGGAAAGGGAGAGGAGGAAGCGGAGGGGGGGAGGGAGGAGGGGGAAGCGAGGCGGGGGGATCAGGGGCGATGGGGATTGGTCTTGGGGGTCATGGTGGCACGACTGTATGGGGAGTCGTGATGGACGCGGCCAATGAGACCTTGCCACGTGTCTGTGCTCCAGAGGCTGGTGCGCTTTTGTACCGGAACAGGAGCGTCGCTAGCGAAGACTTCTCTAATGGGAGGACCAGCAGGAATTCGTTTGACCAGGCCAGACTTCCAGGAAGCGGGCAGGAGAAAGAAACATTTTCTGATCTTTCAACTCCTGGGCTGTGGGACGATCTGCCAGGGCAGTCAGTAGCTGCCTTGCTGGCAGCGTGGGCAGTCGACAAGTGGACTACCACGTCAGCATCCAATTGCCAGCTCATCGCCAGGATGGACGGCGAGGGAGACGCTCTGGCGGTTGGTGCGGTGGCGCCTGAGAAAATGGTGAGGTTCCACGTGGCACGTGCTATTGGGAGGGTTGCACAGGAGCAGGAGATGTGCTTATATCGAAGGGAAGGTGGTGAAGGGAAGGGGGGTGAGAAGGATGATGGTTTGTTTACCAGAGCGGGTGTGCACCTTGGGAGGTGGAGGGATGCTGCAGTTGAGGGTGCCCAGAAAGCAGCGGGCGCAGTGAGGAAGGCAGAGGAGAAGCCAGTAGGTGAAGGAAGGATGGTTGAAAAAGGGAGGACAAAGGTGGATGGAAGGGAAGCTGGGGCGTTGAAGGTGCAGCAAGCAGGGATAGGAGGAACAGGAGCAGCTGCAGCAGCAGCAACAGCTGCAGCAGCAGCTAAGTCGAGCATCTTTCTCACGCCAACAGCGATACGCAGTTGGTCGCTCTCGCTGCTGAAATCAGCGCTGCCCCCCGCGTCCGCCTTCCAGCAAGGGAACAGTGACGTCACTGTTGCCGTCCTGCATGCAGTGCGTACGCTGTCTGACATCAGCGATGATGTAGCTCGCATCAGCAGTGACGCCATCAGCAGCACAGACTTAGCTGAGCCTTCCCTGCGAGAGGAAGTCGCTTTGGAGGCATTGCCCCAGCTAAGGCGTATTCTCGCGGCTTCCACTCGTGCTGCTGCTGCTGCTGGCCCTGGCTCTGGTTCTGGTTTTGGTGCTGCTCCCTCTGCTGCTTTCACCAAAAGGCGTGACTCTAATGCGCCGTCTGCACGTGCTGTTTCTTCAGCGGCTGTGGCAGCTGGGAAGGGCAGAGAGGGACTCAGTGGTGAGGGAGTGAGTGTGGAGGAGCGTGAGGCGGCAGAGGAGGAGGAGATGGTGAATCTGGCTGTAGCGCAGGCTGTAGCATCGCTTGTGCTGGGGCGGCAAGCTTATGAGGCAGCAGCAGTGGGCCGGCTCATAGGGGCAGCAGGTGGAGGAGCAGCAGCAGGAAGACCCCCAGCCCCAGTAAACGCAGGAGCGCCAGCGCCAGCAGCAGCAGCAGAAGCAGCAGCAGTGGCAGCATCGCCCTCTTCAGCATCATCATCGCGATCATCCCTCTCACTAGGTCAGCTCCGTGCCACACCGTCTCGCCCAGCAGTGGTGATGCCTGCAGACGAGCTGAGAGCGTGGGGACCCGTGCTGGTGAAGTGGGCGTGCGGGGTGATGCGTGGCGGCGGTGAAACAAACGAAGGAACAGGAGGAGGGGCAACAGGAGCAGCAGTAAAATTAGGGAAAGCAGGAGGAGCAGCAGAAGGGACAGCTACAGCACGTGCAGCAGCAGGGTTGCTGGCCGGCAGGAGGCAGCCTGCAAGGAGCTTCTTGGAGTCTGATCTGGTGCAACCTGCTGCTGTGGCTGCCACTGCTGCAGCTGGCCAGGCTGTTCTCGTGGAGGTGCTATCTGCGGCCGTTCGTGCAGCAGATGCTCCCTCTGATTCCGCTGTTGCTGCTGTGGATGCGCGTAGGGGCGAGGTGACATCAGGGGAAAGGGACGATGGAGAGGGTAGGGAGAGAGGGAGGGCGAAGGGAGGGAGGGAGAAGGGGAGCAGTAAGGGAGGAAGGGCGGGGTCGGGGAGTTTACGGGTGGGGAGAGGGGTTGGGGTGGAGCAGGTGGAGGGGGCAGAGAAGGCACGACAGGCAGGGGTAGTAGTGGGGGGAGAGGGAGTGGGGAGAGAGGGAGTGGGGAGAGAGGGAGTGGGGAGACATGAGCTTGAGAAGGAATGGACGGATGTGGCGGTGGGCGTGGGTCTGCTGTGGCTGTCTGAGATGGTCATGTGCGCCGTGACGGAGGCGGAGGCCAGGAGGAACGGCGCCAAGGGGAGCAAAGCCGGAGCAGTTTCAGGGGAAGGGAGGGGTGGGGGTGCGGGCAGGAAGGGGGAGGTGGGGAAGCAGGGGGGAGGCAAGGGGGTGGAGAGTGTGGGTATGACTGTAGCGACTATGAAGTACCTCGAGTCGCTGTGGCGAGGAGGGAAGGGGACAGGAGCCCAGGAGAAAAGGGAGGAGCAAAAGGGCGGCGAAGAGAAAGAGGAAATCGCACAAGCAGGCACAACAGCAGTCAGCGCAGGTTCTACTGTGGATCAGCTGGGTGGGGGTTTTCCTGCTGGGAAATCTTCTCAGGGCAAAGCACTCCTTGGAGAGCGACCTTTTAAAGAGCAGCTGTTCAGGGAGCAATTCTTGAGACGAAAGGCAGCTGGAGAGCAACCGCCTGGAGCGGCAGGTGGGAGGAGTGAGGGCGAGGGCGCAGCAGAGAGGTCGTGGTGGTCGTATGTCAACCCGTGGGGGGGAGCAGGAGGGGCAGGGGGAGGGCGACAGGCAGCAGGGGGGGGGTCAGGCCAGCCGCAGGGGAGGGGGGAAAGGGCGGTGGGAGGGCGGGCAGAGCGGGTGGGTGGGCACGTGAGTGGGCAGGGGAATGCGGAGCTGGGTGGGGCGTTGAGTGAGAAGCACAAGGCCGTGAGGGACGAGGCCCTGCGGTCCGCCAGCTCTGCCGTGGTGCGGCTTGGAGAGGTGCTTGGGCACGAGGCGTGGGGGTGGGGGGGCGGGGATGGTGGACGTGGGGAGGGGAAAGGGGTAGGAACGGGGGGAAGAAAGGATGGTGGGATGGTGAAAGGGAGGGGCGGTTTGGGGTCTGAGAAGAGGTCCAGCAGCAGAGCAGGTTCAATGGAGATCAACGTGGAGGATGCAGAGTGGGGAGAGGTGGAGAGCGGTGTTGTGAGGGAAGAGGGGGGAGAGGATTCTTTACCTGTAAGCAGTGCAGGTAAGGCCAACAAACAGGTTGCTGCTGCTGCTGCTGCTGCTGGTAGGAACATTACTGACAATAAAGTGAAAGTTACTGTAGACGAGATGGTTAAAGCAGCAGAAGAGGAGCACGAGCACCTGATGGACCTGCTGGGGCTAGAAGGAGGGCTGTATTCTACCCGGTCAGGGCTAGTAGCTTCTAACGAGGATAAATCCGCAGCCAGTGAGGAGCCTCCACGTGTCAATGTTCTGGAGGCTCTGGATGCGGCAGCAGCAGCGGTGAAAGCGCTTGCTGAGCTGGCGAGCGAAGATTGGGCGATGCAGGAGCGGGTGGTGGCAGGTGGGGGCGTGGAGCTGATGCGGCGTCTGCTGATTGGGCAGGAGTACTGGGAGTGGGTGAGAGGGGAAGAGGAGGAGTTGAGGCGTCAGTATGAGAATGGGGCTGGTAGGGGTGGCCAGAAGGGTGCTGAGGTGGGGAGGAGCCAGATTGATGGAAGAAACTACAGCAGCAGCAGCAGCAGCAGCAGCAGCAGCAGCAATACCAGTGGTGGTAGCGAGAGTAGCAGGAGAGAGAGTGCTGGGAGCGAGTGTGAGAAGAAGGACCTTCTGATACGCCTGGCTGCTACTGCTGCTGCAACTGCCATTCCAAACTCCCCACCAGGCTCCCAGCCAAACACAGAGCCAGGCATTCGACCTGCAACATCCCAAGCCGCCAGTGCCACGTTAGCAGCAACAACTGGCAATACATTAGCTGCTCCTGCGCGCACTGTAGCTGCAACTGCTGACGTGGCAGCAGAAGAGGAGCTGGAAGCGGCCAGGGTGAAACTCACAAAGCTCCGCAGGAACGCCGCCCGGCTGCTGGCCCAGCTGTCGGCTCACCCGGACTCGTGGGCGGCAATTGCTGGCGATCAGATACTGATTGGTTGGCTGGAACAGTGCACCAAAGGGGGGGGTGAAGATGGTGGGAGGGACAGGAGAGACGACGAGTGTGAGAAAGGGAGTGGGAGGAAGAGGAGGACGGCGGAAAGTAGTGGTAGTAATAGTGAAGCAAAATCTCCCCAGCAGTCAGAGCACGATCCGTTGCTGTGTGAGGTGTGTGTGAGCAAGAAGATGCGATCCAACGCGCGCAAGGTGCTCGCACATGCTGCTCCTGCTGTGCATGCCATGTCAGGTTCTGCTGTTGAAATTGATGCTTCCACGCCACTGCCAACCTGGCACGAGTGTGATGTGGCGGTGCCAGGCTGGCACGAGGCAGGGAAGCGGTTCACCCCCCGGTATGACGACGGCATCTTCTTCATCCACCCCACCAACCCCTGGCTGCAAGCCAACTCCCTCCCCGATCCCCTCTCCGATCCCCTCGCCTCCCCCTCCTCTCCCCCCTCCTCGTCCTCTTCCCCTTCCACCCCTGCCTCTTCCTCCTCAACGCCCTCCGCGCCTGTCCTCGATGTGGTGTTCGTGCACGGGCTGAGAGGCGGGCCCTTCAAGTCCTGGCGCAGGGGGGAGGCGGTGCCGGCTGCAGCTCCAGCACCTGGAGTAGCCATGGCGCCTGTAGCGAAAGCACCAGCAGTGAGAACGCCTGTAGCGAGGAAGTCTGTAGCAGGGGCGCCTGTAGCGGGGGCGCCTGTAGCGGGGGCGCCTGTAGGACGGATAGTGGGTGCGTCCAAGGAACAAGAAGCAGCAGCGAGTTCGGGCGGGGCTTTAATGGGGAAGGGAGACGGGAGGAGTGCGACGGGCCCCGGGCAGGTGGAGGTGAACGAGGCAGGCGTAGAGCCTTCAATGGCGGGCCAAGGGGGGAGCGTAGGACACACACCCATCCAAGGCGTAGGAGACGTGGCACCGTTATTGGTGGGGGAAGGGAGGAGCGTGGAGCCGACGAAGCTGCTGGAGGCGACATTGAGGGAGGAGGAGGAGGGCGGCAAGAAGGGGTCGTGCTGGCCGTGTGACTGGCTGGCCAGGGACCTCTCGGGAGCCCGCATCCTCACCACCAAGTACAGGGTAGGGTTTCTCAACCCGTCAGCTTATGTTGTGGTTGGGGGGGACTAAAAGGTTGCTTAAGGAACCGCGCTTTTTATTTTCTCTTCTTTCTTCAACTTTTTTACTCAACCCCCCATCTCCTGGTTGCCTTGCCTTGCGTGTCTCTCTCCCGATCTTGACGGCAGACGAATCTCTCTGAGTGGGCAGGAGCGACCCTTCCTTTGGAGGTGAGCCTTGGGTGTCTCTCAAGCCCTCGCGTTCCGCTGGCCCTTGATCCCTGGCTGCGCCGTGCCTGTCCTCCATAGGGAGGCCTTTCTGTGTTTCTTCAGGCCTGTCTCAGTGCGGATCTCCTTGTCCCGCGTGCCCTTCTGCCTCTCTTCCTCTGCCTCTCGTCCTCTGCCTCTCTTCCTCTGCCTCTCTTCCTCTGCCTCTCTTCCCCTGTCTCCTTTCCTCTGCGTGCTTCTCATCAGGAGGATCAGCATTCTGCCGCTGCATAAGCTCGTGACGGTGGGTGAGGGCGAGAGAGAGGCCCCTGGTTTTTGCCCTTGTCACTCATGCCACCCATACTGTCTTCCCTCCGTTTCCCCCCCTCCGCTTCCCGCCAGGACATCAGCGTTCTGTTGCTGCACAAGCTGGTGGCAGCCGGGGTGGGCGAGAGGCCTGTGGTGTTTGCCCTTGTCGCTCATGCCACCGATACCATCTTGCCTCTTCCCCCCCCCTCCTCCCCCTCGCACCAGGACATCAGCATTATTCTGCTGCACAAGCTGGTGGCAGCAGGGGTGGGCGAGCGGCCGGTGGTGTTTGTGACGCACAGCATGGGAGGGCTCATAGTCAAGCAGATTCTAGCTCTCGCCCACACCAGCGACCTGCCGGAGATCCGGGCCATCGCTGACAGCACAGCGGGCATTGTGAGTGCAGCTATCGCTGTCGCACGTCTGTTAGTGGGCTGATCGTTGACTGCTGGTGGCTTGTGCCGCACAGCAGGGGTGGGCTCATAGTCAAGCACATTCTCTCCCTCGCCCGCACCACCCGCACCAGCAACCTCCAGAGGCCCGAGCGATTGCAGGCAGCACAGCAGGCAATTGTGAGTGCGTGGAGGAACTCCCATCCAGGCCTCGTGTCTTCCCCCTCATGCCCTCCAGTTCCGTGCCTCAATCCCAGTTCCGTGCCTCAATCCCAGTTCCTGCCTCAATCCCAGTTCCGTGCCACACGTGCGTCTGCCCTCCACAGGTCTTCTACTCCGTGCCACACTTCGGCAGCCGCATCGCGGACTATTCCTGGAGAGCACGTGCCGTGCTGCGCCCCGCTCCCTCCGTGCGCCTCCACCCTCCCTCTCTCCCTCTCCGCTTCCTCGTGAACTCAATCCGAAACACGTTTGCCTTTGTGCTTGCTGCCCTGGTGCTGTTACCCGTGTCTCTCCGTGCCTGCCACCCTCCTCACGATGCTGCTCCTTCGCTTGATTTCCGAGCTCACGTTCCTTTTTGCAGTCGCTTGTTTTAGCTTCTCTCAGGACGCCCTCTTATCTCCCGTCTCTTATACAATTTCAACTCTTGCCCTCTTGACACTGTGCCATCACCGCCCTTTTTGTGTGCAGGCTGACTGTCTGCGCATGTCCTCTCCCCATATAGAGGGCCTCAACACCACGTTGAGGCACATGTACAAACAGGGCAAGGTCCAAGTGCTCTCGTTTGCAGAGGTATGTGGGTGAGAAGAGGGGAGGCTCTGGACGTGATTAAGAATCAGGTGCTTTGATACTTGCTGACAGAAGGTTGCAGGTTGAACAATGCTACTGCAGACTCAGAAGTAGGCAGGATGCACTGGTTCTCATCCTTTCAAGCCCTTATCATCCAAGCCCTCACCATCTCTGGTTCTCATCTTTATGCCCTTATCCTTTCCGTCCGCTCTTGTCTTGATCAGACCAAGGTCACGCCGCTGGTGAAGACTTACGGGGGGCTCACGCTGCGATTGGAGGTCGTTCCGTTGGAGTCCGCCTATCCGGGATACGGGGCGTTCGTGGTGAGTACATGCTGACATGGTGTTGCTTTGACCCCGCATTATCGGAAAATGGCTGGGCATGGTACTGGTTTGTGGCCATGGAATGCCAATGCACTTCGTAATTCTATCGTGTGACATGTGCAGGTGTTGGATGGGACCGATCACATCAATGCTTGCAAGCCAGTCAGCACCTCCGACCCAGCTTATGCCGACACACTTGATTTCCTTCTCAAGCTTCGAGATCAGGCCTTCAGAAGTCAGGACAAAATGCCCTGAAATGCTGTGTAGCAGGGTGTTTTTTTAGGGTCGTCCTGCTTTTCCAGCTTTTGATTTTTCCTAGGCCTGAATTTTAGGGGTTCTCATTTGAGCAGGCCTGAAATATTGTATGTCATTGTTTTGGTCACCCTGAATTATCAGCCTCAACGGATTTCCAGCCTGAAAACAGAAAAAGTATCTGACTGGTCGAGGCGAGCTGGAGCAGCTGTGAGGGGCGTGACTTGTCCTTCGCAAAATGATGCAGTCACGCAGGTGATGCAAGCTGGAGCAGATGTGAGGGGCGTGATTGGTCCTTTGCCAAAATCACGCAGGCAGTTTGACGTGAGCTGGAGCGGGTTGTCAAACATATATGAGACTATAGGCTAGATATGTGCGTACTCTTAGAGAGTACAACCCCTTAGACAAAACCATCCTGTATCTCACATTATAGCTAACAATTCTACTCTGAGATGGTATCACGCGCTAGGTTAGTCCTCCCCGCCCACCCGCGCTTCCGCTTTTAGTCCTAGCCCTAGTTGCCCATTCCTAGCCGCCCGTCTCTAGCTGCCCGTTTCGAGCCGCCCGTTTCAAGCTGCCCGTCGTTAGCTGCCTGTAGGCTGTAGCCCTGCGCCCGCTAGCCTTGCAATCGTCAGCCCCGTGCCCGCTGGCTCAGAGCTCGCTGGCCCCGCGCCTGCTGGCCCCGCGCACGCCTGCCCCGGCCCGCTGACCCCACATTCGCCAGCCCCTCGCCGCCGGCCCCGAGTCCCGCTGGCCCCGATTTCGCCCGCCGGTGCCCGCTGGCCCCGCTTTCGCTAGCCCCGTGCCCGCTGGCCCCGATTGCACCAGCCCTGCGCCCACTGGCCCCTCATTCGCCAGCCCCGCGCCCGCTGGCCTCGCATTCGCCAGCACCTTGCCGCTGGCCCCGGCGCCTTCTAGTCCCCTGCCTGCTGACCCTGCGCCCATCAGCCCCGCGCCCATCAGCCCCGCGCCCGTCAGCCCCGCGCCTGCTGGCCCCGCGCCCGCCAGCCCTGCGCCTGCTGGCCCCACGCCCGCCAGCCCCGCGCTTGCTGGCCCTGCGCCTGCTGCTCTCTCACCGGTCCCAGCCTGCCCCGGTCCTTCCTACCGCCGAGCCGCGCTGACCCGCCGGCCTTGGCTCCTCCTCTGAGCCGGCGCTCCCTCCGGCCAGCTCCACCGCTCTCCACCGCACTCTACCACTCTCCAGCGCACTCCACCACTCTACACTACACTCCACCGCACTCCACCGCGCTCTTTGCTCTCCACCGCACTCCACCGCTCTCCACTGCTCTCCACCACACTCCACCGCTCCCCCCTGCTCTCCACCGCCCTCCTCCGCACTCCCTCCTCCCCTTGTCAGCGGCAGTAAGCTGCTGCAGCCATGGTGATGGCGGAATCTCAGCTCCGCCTGGACGCGGAGGGTCAGGCTGTTGAGTTTGAGGCGTGGCTCGTCGACCTCCGCCGCCAGCTGACCGGTCAACGCTAGGACGGCCACTCCCTAACCGTCCATGTCGACGGTAAGCTCCCTCGCCCCGCCACACCCGCTGCCCTCCCTGACGCCCCCACGTTTGCTGAGCGTGAGGCTTTTATTACCCTTGAGCTTGCCTGCGCTGTCTGGGAGTTGCGCGACGCCATTGCACACCTTGCCATTAGTCACGCCCTCCCCCAATCTGAGCATCCCTGCTTTATTGCTATAGCAAACGCCAAGAAATACTTAGATGCCATCATCGCGCGCTATTCCATTCCCTCCTCAGCCTCTTCCGGCCGTCTGATCCTCCCCATGCTGTTCCCTGACCTTGCGTCCTTCCCCACTGTCGCTGACCTTGCCACTCACCTCCGCGCACTAGAGACTAGCTACTGCGTGCCTTCCCACTGAGGCACAGCTCACTGCTTTCCCACCACCGCTTTGCGCTACCCTTTACCTCATAGCCACGCGCCTTCCTGACCGCCTCGCCACTGCCCGCAACCACTTCCTTAGTCAGCACCCAGGAGACCTCACCCTTTCTGCCTTTGTCACCGCCATGTCCGTGATAGAGACCCGCCAGCGCATTATCGCTCAGTCTAACGGTACTCTGGCGGTCCCTATCTTCCATGGTTGTGCTTCATCCCAGTGCATTTACGCTAACGTTTCTGCCGAAGTCGCTGAGATTGCCCCTGCTGCTAAGACCGTCGCCACGGCCTCAGCGCAGCAGCGTCAGGGTAAGGGCCGCCGCCCCAAGGGGGGGCGTGGCAAAGGGAAGGGTGGTGGAGGTGGTGGAAGTGGGGGCGGGAACGGTGGTGAAGACAAGGGGACCGGGGCTGGTGCCCCGGAGGAGCAGCAGCAGCAGCAGCAGCAGTCGCCGTAGGGAACCCCGCCGCCGTGATGGTGGGGCGGCACTGGTGGTGGTGGTTGTGGTGGTGAGGCGCGCAGCTCGGTGTCGGGTGGTGGCTCCAGTGTAGTCACCTGCCAGTACCAGCTTCAGTCCAGCCCCCGCCGCGGCATCGTCTGCGACCGTCCCGGACACACCGCCGCCCGCTGCTACCGCCACCTGGGCGAACTCTTCCGTCTCCGCTTCGGCCCCGCATCGGACCCTCCCGACTAGTACAGCCTGGTGCGTCGCGGTGTCCCTGTTTTTGAGATTGATATGGATCAGATTAGATCTGCTCTGTATGCCATGTATGCTGATGACTCTAGTGTGACTGGACCCTATTACCCGGTGTTGCCTAGTGTAGGTGTGTCCCTTGTGTATAGTGTAGGTTCCCCTGCTGCGTCAGACGTAGGACCACCTGCCTTGTTTAGCCTCGGCTCCATCCTCGCTCCCCCGCCTACGGCTGCTACCGCCGCGCTCTCATTCACGCTTCACTCTGGCGCGTCCGCCTGCTTCTTTCGCGACCACACTGCGCTCATGCCGCTTGTTGCCCCTGCCGCTGTAGTGCTTGCTGATCCCTCCTCAGGTGCAGTAGTTGCCCGTAGCTCCACTACCCTTCCCTGTCCGGCGGTTCCCTCGAGCTCTCTTACATGCCTGCACATCCCCTCGTTCTCCAGGAACCTAGTTGGTGCCGGCTGTCTTCAGGACCACGGCGTCACCACTACGTTCCCTAGACACGAGTGGTATGCAGTCTGTACTGAGGCCGTCACTGGTGCCCCTCTTACCACGTTCCCCCAGGACGCCGTCTCTGGCCTGTTCACCCCAGACTCTGCGTCCCCCCCGGTGGGAGCATCCCCCTAAGTCGCCGCGTCCTCCTAGGTTGCTGCAGCTTGCTCGTGTCAGTCGCTCACCCACCCGTCGCTGTTGTGGCACCACCCCCTAGATCACCCCGAACTCCCGCGTCTGCGTCACATGTCCCATCACGGTCTTGTCTTCGGTCTCCCTGCATAGCTCCCTGCCCTACCTCCCTCGCCTGCGCCGCCGTGCACGCCTTGTGTCGAGGGCCGGCTGCGCCGTGCCCCTCACTCCTCCTCGTTTCCCCCTACCACTGCGCCACTCCAGACCCTGCACATGGACGTTTGGAGCCCAACCCTCATCCCTGGGCCGCGTTGAGAACGCTACTTTCTAGTGCTTGTCGACGACTACACGTGCTACACCACGGTGTTTCCCCTGTAGCGTAAGGCCGAAGTGCCTGATATTCTTATCCCGTGGGTCGTAGCTACGCGAGTCCCCTGTGGCCTCCCTTTGCTGTGTCTTTACTCCGACCGTGGCGGCGAGTTCGCCTCCGGTCGGCTTGGCCAGTTCTGTTGTGCGGAGGTCATCACCCAGTCGTACACCCTGCCAGAATCCCCGCAGCAAAATGGGGTCGCTAAGCGACGCATCGGTTTGGTCATGGAGGTGGTTCGTACCTCCATGATCCATGCCGGTGCACCCCATTTTTATGGCTGTTCGCTGTTCGCTACGCCGCTCACCAGCTAAACCTGTGGCCGCGCTCCCATCGACCACAAGTTTCGCCGACCCTTCTTTGGACCGGGTTCCCTGGTGACGCGTTTGCGCTCCACGTCTGCGGCTGCCTTGCTCACATTCGTGCCTCCGGCATGGACAAGCTCAGTACCCGCATCGTCCCTTGTATCTTCCTTCGTTTCCCTCTTGACGCGTCAGACTGGCACTTCTACCACCCGCCGTCTCACCGTCTCTTTCACTGCCGGTTGCCCCGCCCCTGCTCCTGGTCCCCACTCCCCCAATAGCCCCTGCTCCTCTTGTCGGAATCTCCTCCTGTTCCCTTTTGCCCTTTGCCGTCTCCCCATCTCAGCCACTATTAGGAAAACCTCTTCCTACTATGCTTGTCCTTCCTCCATGGCCAGTCACCTAGCACAAGGCCTTGGGTAACGTAATTCCATTCTGAAAGAAAGAACAAACGAGACAGAACGAACTCCTCCAGCCGGCTAGCCCCACTAGAAAGGCTCCATGACGAGCGGCACATTTCCCAATGTGTGTCTTCGAGCCGCGACCCTCGCCTTTCGGATTGGCTTGCCGGATTCTCTCCCAATGACCTTTCCTCCAGCTGTCCCTCGGTTTCGCTTCCCGGGTTACACCCTCACCTACTTCGCATCAATTCCCAAGTCCCCGCCCACCTACCTCTCTGCTTATTTCTAATAACCCCAGTACACCCACCCCTCATCCCACTTCTTTATAATACAACACTATATTACATCCATCCCTTGAGTGTCCCATAAAACATAGTCGTCCCTATGGTTTCCGTGACAGCTGACGAAATCTCCTCCTGTTCCCTTTTGCCCTTTGCCGTCTCCCCATCTCACCCACTTGCCCCCTCCTGTGTGCGTGCTTGGGCTGCCCGAGCCCGTGTTACAGGACCACTCTGCTGAGCTGCTCCCTTCACACGTGCCACATTACTCATATGATCCTTCGCCGTCTCCCCTTGGGCATTCTCCAGTACAAAGACCCCTGAGCTCCACACCTCCTTGATCGTCTAGCGTTCCTGCCCAAGGCCCACATCCAGCGCGTCTTTCTTAATCCTACGAAGGTCGACTTCCTGTCCCTCCTCTACTCCTCTCTGCTGTCCTGCCCCTCCTCCTTGTCGCTGCCGCTGCTCATACCTCCTTGCGTCCCGCAACGGTGTGACTTTCAAGTTATCTAGCGCTGCTGGGAGCATCTCTCGCATGTACCGGGCTCTCACCTCTGCCAGCGCCACCCACTTCTCCTCAGTCCCCGCTGTCACTGTGCCTGTGA